ACCTGGGGAACCTCGTCGGGGGCCTGCTCGTCGGGCCCGTCGCTGTGTGGAAACCAACCACTGGTTTGGGGTGGTCCTGACCAAACTTCAGAATTCTCTAGCTCGGTCAAATCGAAGTCGATTCGGCTGATTTTTGGACGGATCGATTGCTCTCGTCGAGTTCTCGAAGCCCAGCTGAAGAGCTTGTGTCAAAACATTCGAATATGCTCACATTGAAGTCGGGTTGAAGATTTGATTTCCACACAGGCCGGTCGTCGTCTACCTGCGGCTCGCGCGGCGGCTCAAGGCCGTGCTCCTCGCGTGCCTGATCGTCGGCCTCGCGTGCTACGTCGCCTTCGCGCTCGCCATGCCCTTTGGCGCGCGCGCGGCGAGTGCCGTCACGGTTCTTGGCGGCTGCCCCTTCTGGGCCCTCGCCGCGTTTGTCGCGGCCGCGTCCGCGTCCGTGGGCGCGACGTTCCCCGTCTTCTACGACCTCGCGGCGGAGCTCGACTACCCGCGGGACCCGGCGCCGTCGGCCGCGGCCATCAACTACTGCCTCAACGGCATCCAGGTGCTCTTCATGGCCGCGCTGCCCTTCGTCCCCGCGGGCCTCGTGTCGGGCCTCATGGCCGCGGTGTCCGTGTTGTGCCTCGCGCTCGTCGGGCCCGTGCCGGCGTCGACCTACGCGCGCCTCGACGAGGACGAGCGCGCGAGGCGCGCGGCCTAGTCGTCAAGGTTTACGAGCGCGGGGAGGAGGGCCTTGTCGCAGGCGACGCCCGCGGCGACGCCCGCGGCGAAGCCGCCGGCGTAGCACGCGGCGCACGTGACGACGAGCGAAACCGCGGGTCCCGCGTCGCCGCCGCGGGCGGCCGCGGCGAGGTAGTCGTAGGACGCGCGCCAGCGGATCGTCGTGAGCGAGATCTGCACGACGACGCCCGCGATCGCGGCCTGGGAGATCTCCCCGACGACGGGCCCGCCGGCGACGACGAACGCCGCCAGCGCCGCCGCGTAGCACAGCGACGACAGGTCGCCGCCGCCGCCGCTGTTCAAATTGAGCACGGTCTGCGGGATCAACCCGCAGCCGCCGAAGCCGCCCGAGAGCGCCGACGCCGCGTTGCCCGCCGCGAGCGCGAGCGCGCTCCGCGTCGGCGCGTCGGTCGCCGGCGCCGCGAAGCCGTCCACGGTCCCGTCGTCGTAGAACGCGGCGCACAGGTCCTCGCACTTGAGATCGTCGACGAGCCGCGCGGCGAGGAGCGTCTCGAGCAGGGCGATGAACGCGACGGCTACAGCCGTCGGCAGCGCGACGGCGACGTTCGCGGGCGCGAAGAGCGCCGCGTCGACCCCAAACCGCGGGAGCGCGTCGAGCCCGCCGGCGAAGGCGCCGGGCGGCGCCGCGGACGCGAGCGTCGGAAGTTCCAGGCCGAGCGCGGGCCCGGCGGCGGACGCGACGCCGAGCCCGACGAGCGCCGGCGGCGCGGGCGAATCCCGGGGCAGGAACTGCGCGATCGCGGCGCAGAGGAGCGCGACGCCGACGGCCTCGGGGGTCTCGAAGACCCTGGCCTGCGACGCGAGCAACAACAGGCCGAGCGCGTTCAGGAAGCCCGCGAGCACGGGCTCCGACACGAGGTCCGCGAGCCGCGTCAGCCGCAGCGCGGCGACGGCGAGCTCGAGCGCCGCTGCTAAAACGACGACGACGGGCAGGAGCTCGGGCCCGCGCTCCGCGACGAACGCGCCGAGCGGCACGACGACGACGGCCGCGGCGCCCGCGATGACGCCCGGCCGCATGCCGACGGCCGGCGCCGCGACGCCCATGGCCACCGACGACCAGACGCCGACGAGCGGGTCGACGCCGACGATGGACGCGCACGCGATGGCCTTGGGCAGCAGCGAGAACGCGACGCTGAGGCCCGCGAGCGCCTCGTCGACGACGCCGGGCGGCGCAGCGGCGGCGCTGGCGTCCGCGAGCGGCTCGTCGTCGCGCGCCGCGCAGAGGCCGGGACCGCGGCGCTGCGGCGCGCCGAGGCCGCTGCGGTGCAACCTCGCGCCGCTGCGGAGTTGGTGGAAGCTCCCGCGGCGCTGCGGCGCGCCGAGGCCGCTGCGGTGCAACCTCGCGCCGCTGCGGTGTTGGTGGAAGCTCGTCGCGCTCCAGGCGTGCAGCAGCAAGGCGTAGCGGCGCAGCATTGCTGGGTGCTACGTAGCAAAGCAGCACTCCATGCTGTGGTAAAAATAGGTAAAATCGTCTTGCTCCTGATCTTGCCCTTCACCCTCGCCGCCAGCCGCGTCGCCGCGCGCCCGCCCGGGCGGCCCACCGCGTCGAGTGCCATGTACACGGACGTGCAGCGGTGGCCGAGCGACCAGAGCGAGTACGACGAGGAGCGGGTCCAGGCGGCGCCGCGCATCGTGCTCATGGGCTCGCGGCGTTCCGGGAAGACGTCCATGGAGCGCGTCGTCTTCGGGAAGATGTCGCCGCACGAGACGCTCTTCGTGGCGTCGACGTCGACGCCGACGCTGCGGCTCGTCGCGAACAGCGAGCTCGTGCACTTCGCGATCTTCGACATCCCGGGCGGCTGCGAGCTCGGCGAGCTGAGCCACCACGGCGCGGCGCTGACGCCCATGGCCGTGTTCAGCCGCTGCGTCGTGCTGGTCTACGTCGTCGACGCGGAGGCGGACCCCTACGCGGAGTGCGCGCGCCTCGCGGAGGTCGTCGCGCTCGCGCGGCGCGTGAACCCGCGCGTCGGCCTCGAGGTCTTCGTGCACAAGGTCGACGGCGACCACTTCCTGAGCGAGGAGCAGAAGCTGGGCTGCCGCCGCGAGATCGAGGCCTGCGTCCGCGCGGAGCTCGCGGAGCTCACGCGCGGCGACGCCAGGGCCGAGGACGAGGCCGCGGACGAGGCCGCGTCGGCCGCCGCGTCCGCCGCGCTCCAGGGCGCCGCGTTCAACCTCACGTCCATCTCAGGGCGGGACGAGGGTGATTCAACGTCGCTTCGACGTGAGTGTGCCGCGCGCGCGCGTTTCGGAAACAGCACCCGCGCGTCGAGCGCGCTCCGAGAGACGACCGCTCGTCCAAAAATCAGCCGAAACGAGCGGAAAACGACCGAGAGAGGAGCCTTTGAAGTTGGGAATGTCGCACCCTTGTCCTGCCCAGGTCCATCTACGACCACTCCGTCTTCGAGGCCTTCTCCAAGGTCGTGACGAAGTCGTTGGTGCCCCAGCGCAAGACGCTGCAGCGCATGCTCGACGCGCTGGTGGCGGCCTGCGACATGGAGAAGTCGTTCCTCTTCGACGTCTCGTCCAAGGTCTACGTGGCCACGGACTCCGCGCCCGTCGACTCGGCGTCCTACGAGCTCTGCGCCGACGCCATCGACGTCGTCCTCGACGTGTCGTCGATCTACGCGCCGGCGAAGAAGGGCCGGTCCGCGGAAACCGACGGCGGCGACGCGCCGCCGCCGCCGCCGGCCGACGGCGCGGCGCCGCCGGCGCAAAGCGACGACCGCAAGCCCCGGTCCAACGCCGCGTCCGTGACGCTGTCCAACGGCATGGCCCTCGTCCTCGACGAGGTCGACCAGAACCTCGCGCTCGTCTGCCTCCTCCGGTCCGAGAACCTCGAGAAGCGCGGCCTCATCGACTACAACCTCTCCTGCTTCCGCGCGGCCCTCAAGCGCCTCGCGGACCTCAACAAGAAGGCCGGCAGCGGCCTCCAGCCCGCCCGCTAGAATAGGTGCGGTTTACACGGTCGCCAGGAGGTCGAGGACGTAGGGGACGACGGCGAACGTGCCCGCGAGGCTCAGCGTCCGCGCCGGCAGGCCGCGGAAGAACGCGCGCCCCCCGCCCGCTGCATAAATTTCCCCGAGCGCCTTGGCCAACGGCGCGTTCGTCGCCTGCTGGTAGGCGGCGACGACGGACGGCGCGTGCGACACGGGGCCCCCGACGGCGGCCGCGGCGGCGCCGCACGCGACCTCCTTGGCGACGCGCGCGCCGGGCGTCGCCGCGGGGCCGAAGCGCCGCTCCGCCTCGGCGGCGATGCGCGGGCGGCCCGCGAAGAGCGCCGCGGCGAAGGGGATCTCGCGGCACGCCATCGCGGCCATGCCCGGCGGCAGCAGCAACCCGGCGGCGCCGCGGTCGCGGAGCACGCGGCGCGCCGTCGCGGCCACGCCGTCGCCCCGCGCGTGCGCGGCCGTTATGACGTGCTCGATCTGCGACGTGCAGAGCAGCGCGGCGGCGACGCCCGACGCCGCGGCGCAGAGCAGCTCCGACTCGGCGAAGCGCCGCAGGCCCGTCGTGACGCCGTCCTCGATGACCGTCGTCGGCGCCATGGAGACCCAGAGCGCGCCGCCGCCGCTGTAGAGCCGCCGCAGCGGTGGGAAGGCCGGAAGGCCCGCGCCCATGCGCTTCGCGACGATCCAGAGCGGGTAGTTGATCACAGTGTCGGCTCCGGCAGCGATTGCGACGTGCGCCGAGCGCCATGAGTTGTCCATGCGGGTGTTATGGTTGCACGTGTTTCGCGCGATTAGGCTGCGCACAGCTCGCGCGAAGGGCTGCGCACAGCTCGCGCGATTCTCGCTTCTGGCATCATGCCAAATTCTGCCGTGGATAAAAAAAGTTCAGCGTGGACAGGTTGAAGGTCAACCTAGATCCGTTTCCCCGAAGCTGCTCGTCGGGACGCGCACGCCCCCGACCAGGGGCACGTCGAAGCGGCGGCGCCAGGCCTCGTCGTCGAAGTCGGGGAACAGGTCCCGGAGGCGCGGGCCCGCGCCCGCCGCGCACAGGTCCACGAGCTTCGCGAAGCCGCCGGCCTCGAGGACCGAGACCCAGGGCACGCCGTTCGCCGCGAGCGTCGCCGCGACGCGGCGCGCGTCGTCGTCGCCCGTGGCGCGCGGGCTCGCCGGCGGCGGCGGCGGCGGCGGCGGCGGCGGCGGCGTGTCAGCGTCGCCCGAGACGTCGGGCCGCCGCCGGTCCGGGAACAGGTGCCGCAGCGCGCCCCGCCCCCGCCGCACGAGGTCCCGGGGCAGCAGCGACGCGACGAGGTCGCGGCGGCGCACGAGGCCGCCCGCGCCGGACCCGAGCACGACGACGTGGCGGCCCCGGAGCGTCGGGTCGCCCCGGACGCGCTGGAGCGCCCACGCCGCGGCGTTTTGGGCCCGCCCCGCGGCGTCGGCGTTGCCCGCGAGGGGCGACAGCGGGCCCACGAGGGCGTCGGGCCGCAGGGCGCTCCGCAGCCGGCCCGCGGCGACGCGGTCCGCGTCGCGCGGCGGCGCGACGTCCAAAACGACGACGCCGGGGCTCCCGAGCCGCGCGGCCAGATCCGCCGCGGACAGCACGAGGCACCCCCGCGGCGCCGGCGCCGGCGCGTCGCCGCCCGCCAACGCGCAGCGCAGGGCCGCCAGGCAGCCCGGCGGCGTCGCGCGCGCGGCCGCCGCCGCCGCGGCGAGCGCCGCGGCGCGCGCGGCGCCGTCGTCGGCGCGGAGCCCCGCGGCGGCCTCGGCCCGCGCGCCCGCGAGGAGCTCGGTGCGCCGCGCCGCCAGGAGCCCGACGCCCACACAAAAAACATGGGCCGCGTCGTCCGCGGCGATGACGGCGTCGAAGATGCGGCAGCAGGACGCGAGGTCGCCCGCGGCTTTCGCTCCCAGCGTCAGCAGCCAGGGCGTCGCCGCCAATTGCGCGGGCCAGCCCCGCGCCGCGAGGGCCGCGGCGACGGCCGGGTCGTGGTACAGCGCGAGCGCGCCGAAGCCGTCGACGGTCTGGGCCGTGGCCTCCGTGCCCGCGGGCGCCAGGTAGACGGCCGCGCCGTAGCGACCGACGAACGCGCCGAACGCGTCCGCGGCCGCGCGCTCGTCGCCCGCGGCGACGCCGAGCGCGGCGAAGGGCGCCGCGACCTCGTTCAGACCTTGACGGTAGGGCCGCCCGTGGCGGGCGCAGAAGCCGCGCAGGAGCGCGCGCAGCGCCGCCTGCGCCTCGGCGGCGCTGAGCTCCGCCTCGTCCTGCCGCGTGCGCCGCACGTCGGCGTCGAGCACCGACGCCTCGCCGACGGCGCCGTCGGCGTGCCCTGTCGGGGCATCGCGGACGAGGAGCCGCGCCCAGGCCGCGAGGCGCAGGGCCGCGTCGACGCCGTGGGCGGCGTCGTCCTGGGGCGACCGCGAGAGCTCGCTCAGCAGCGACCGCACGGCGGCGACGTCGTCGCCCGCCAGCGCGGCGCGGAGGTGCGCTCCGAGCGTCGTCATCGCGGCACCAGCAGCGCTAGCGTTGCGGCGCGCTGAGAACCGTCGTTCGCATCTTGGAAACGAGCATCGTCTATTACGAGCTCTTGCCACTTCGACATTCAAGGACAAGGGGAAACTCCGTTGCTTGAAGCGAGGAGACGAGATGCTCTGGCCATTTCTAGCGTGCATCGCAGCCGCCAATGGGCAGCCCGACGCACACCTCATACCGCGCATCCACTACACGCGGCCGTGCGTCAACCCCCATTCGGGCTCGCGCGACATTAGCGGCGCGGTGACCATCGGCGACACGCATCACGTCTGGCAGCTCTGCGACGAGGGCTGGCACCACGCGTCGTCGACGGATTTCGTCCACTGGACCACCGGAGGGGTCGACCTCGACGAGTGGCCGTCGGGCTTCGTTTTCGCGGACGACGAAGGCGCCTGCGCCGGCTTCCGGGGCGAGGAAGACGGCCTCGTGCTGCGCTGCGCGACCGCCACGACCGGCGCCTTCTGGAACTTCTCGGCGGCGGAGCCCATGATGAATGTCTCTTTCTACCGTTTTTTGCCGTTGGACCCGTTCCGCCCCTTCCGGGACCGCGACGGCCGCTACTACGTCGGCGTCGCGCTCGACGCCTGCAACGACACGACGCGCGCAACCCCCTGCGGCGCCGGCGGCGAGCTCCGGCTCTGGTCGAGCGACCGGCCGCGCGGCGGCTCGTGGTCCAGGCTCCCCGCGCCCATGCTCGCGACGAACCGCACGGTCTTCGGCGACGGGCGCGAGGCGCACGAGCTCGTGACCGTCGAGTACGCGGGCTTCGGCGAGCGACGCGTGCTGCTCAACAACGCGTATTTCGCGCGCGGCTCCACGGAATACTTCCTCGGCGCGCAGGCGTCGGGCTCGCCGTTTGTGGTCGAGTCCCAGTCCATGCTCGACTGGGGCGAGATCTCGCCGCGCGACGACGGCGCGGGCGCCGGCCTCGGCGCGCTGAACCGCACGCGCGTCGACGACCCGGACGGCGGACGCTACGGCATGGCGCGGTGCCTCGGCGCCGCGGACATGGTGCTCGGGACCGGCCGCCGCGTCTGCGTGGCGGACATCAGCTACGGCCTGCCGAACGCGTCGGGCCTCACGACGCAGGCGCTGCCGCGCGAGCTCTCCGTCGACGGGACCCGGCTCCTCCAGCGCTTCGCGCGCGAGCTCCGCGCGCTCCGCCGCGGCGCGGTCGCCGCTCACGGCCCCGGTCGCTACCCCGGCGGCCGCCGCGCGAAGTCGTCGCGAGCTTCGCCGGGAGCGGCGCGATCGTCGTGCTCGGCGGCGCGGAGGTCGTTCTCGACGTCGAACGGATCGCGTGCGTCGACGCCGCGTCCCAGGGCGTCGCGGACGTCCGCTGCGGCCCCGTCGACGCCGCCGCGACATACCTTGTCCATGTGATCTGTGATCATTCTCTCATCTCCGTCATCGTCGCCGACACCGCGGCCATCGCGGCCGTCGCGCGGCCGGACGAAACGGCGCCAACCGACGTCCGGCTTTCCGGCGCCCTCGTCTCCGCGGACATCTACGCGCTCGCCGCGGCGTCTTCGCTTTACTCGAGGACGAAGGTCGCGCCGACGGGCGTGTGGTCCGCGAGCTGGGGCGTGTCGGCGTCGGAGAGGACGAACGAGTCGACGAGCGCGGGCGCCGCGCCGTCCTCGAGGAGGTCCGGCGTCGCGAGGACGTAGTCGAGGCGGAGGCCCCTGTTCGCCGGGCGGTTCGCGACGACGCGCTGCGAGTAGTAGGTGAAGACGCCCGTCGCCGCCGGGTGCTGGCGCCGGAACGAGTCGACGAGGCCCGCGTCGTCGAGGAGCTTCGTGAACGACACGCGCTCCTCGACGGTGAGGCCCGCCTGCTTCTTGATCGCGGAGAGGCCCGCGTACTGGTCCTCGATGGCGACGTCGCCCGAGTTGAGCTCCTCGAAGTTCGGCCGCGCGTGCATGTTGTGCATGTCCGCGGCCGCGTGGCAGCAGTTGAGGTCGCCTATAACCGCGACGGGGCCGGCCGCCTTGAGGGACGCGACGTACGCCGCGAGGCTCCGGTCCCAGCCGCCGGCCTCCGTGCGGTAGGCGAGGCGCTTGAGGTCCTGGCCGCTGTTGGGCACGTAGGTCGCGACGAGCGACAACGTGCCGGGCAGCGCGAGCGTCAAGAGGCGCCCCTCGTGGTTGACGATGTCGTCGTCCGCCGCGGCGTCGACGCCGGGCATGCCGCGCGTCACCTCCGCGTCCGCGGGCACGGCGCCGCCGTCCCTGAAGAGCATGGCGACGCCGCTGTAGCCCTTCTTCCCCGGCGGGCCCGAGCAGGTGAACTCGGCCCGCGAGTAGGCCGGGAGGAGCGCGGCGAGCTTCTCTTTCGCCTCGTCGACGTCCTCGTCCTTGAGCTTGTGCTCGTTGAGGCAGAGCACGTCCGGCGCCTCCGACGCGACCAGCGCGGCCAGCGCGTCGCGCTTCTCGGGGCCCTTGGCCTCGTCGAGCACCGCCCGCAGGCCCGCGACGTTCACGCTGACGACTTTCAGAGTCTTCGCGCCGTCCGGCGGCGCCGCGCGCTCGAGCGGCGACCGCGGGATCGGGCCGGCGGGCGCCTTCTTCTTCGCCGGCGCCTTCTTCGCCTTTTTTTTGGCGGGCGCCGCGTCCTCGGCCGGCGACGCGGCGTCCTTGGCCTCCTCGGCCGCCGCAGGCGCGGCGGCCTTCTTCTTTTTGGGCGCCATGGCTGCGGCGGCGAAGGCGCGCGCGGCGCCCGGTGGTCTCTGCGGGACGAAGGCCGCCGCTCGGCAAGCCAGCAGCGCCGGGAGGAGCAGGCGTTGAATGGTCTTGTTGGCGCGCGCGCTCGGGCGCGCGAGAGCTCGGTGTCGAATCGGCGGCGCGGCGAAGGGTCCGGCAAGATGCACATCAACAGTAGGGACGGTTCGCGTGTGATGTCGTGGCCCATGGGCAGCCAGTGAGCCACGACTCATGGACTACATCAACTGCAACGTCGCGACGAACGTCGTCGACGACGACACCAAGCCGAAGGCGCCGCGCGACGTCGAGACCAAGGAGGCGCTCGTGCTGGACGCGCCGACGAAGGGCGAGCCGACCTGGAAACGGAACCTCGCGAAGATCTGCGCCTTCGACGTCGCTCGGCTCGACGAGGTCGTCGGCGGCGGCGGCGCCCACGGCTGCGCCTACAACCGCCTCGTCAACGAAGACTTCCACTTCCTCGGCGACAAGTTCAAGGCGCTGGCCCCCGACGACGCCAACTACGTCGGCGACGTCGAAGACGTCGACGGCGTCGTCTGGGTGATGATGGACGTGTCCATCACGCGCGTCCACCTCAAGGAGCAGTCCTTCGAGGCCGAGGTCGGGCTCTGCTTCGGCACGAAGCGGCGCGCGGCGCGCGACCCGGACCGGCCCAAGGGCTGGACGGAGCACGACCCGACCGAGACGGAGGCCATGCTCCGGGCCGACATGGGCCTCGTGCTCGACTGGTCGTCCCACGCGCGGCTGACGAGCCTCGAGCCCGTGTCGCTGCGACGGATCGCGCGGCGGCGCCGCGGCGCGGGGCAGCCGCTCTGGGAGGACGTGCAGGTCGCGTGCCGGTTCTACGCGACGATCGGCGTCCTGTGGCCGTGACGATTTTCAAGAGATTTGGGGTGGGGAAACAATGAAAAATCACCGTCATGCTTGGTAGGCGACGATCGCGAGCCAGGAGTTCGACCTGCACTTTTTCCCCTTCGATTTCCAGGAGTTTCGCGTGCCCGTGGAAATCCGCTTCACCGGTGGTGATAAGCGGCACGTCGTCCGCGCGGGCGCGGGCATCAAGAGCCGGTCGCTGCTGGGCGAGTGGGACTTCTTCGACCCGGCGCTGGCGATCCACGCGCGGCGCAAGAACTGCCGCGTGCTCTTCGGGGTATGCGTCGGCATGCGTCGGTCGCGCCACTACCTCGTCAACTACTACTTGCAAATTTTCGTCGGCGACCGGCGTCTCCTTCGCTTTGGATGGGTGCGATGGGGTGCTCGCGTAGGTACTGACCTGCCTCTTCGTCACGTACGTCGCCATCGACCGCTCGAACGTCGGCGAGCGCCTCGGGTTCACGGTGACGCTCGTGCTGGCGGCGGCGGCGCTGCAGCTGACGCTGCGCGAGGGGCTGCCCACGTGCCCCTACTCGACGAAGCTCGACATCTACCTCTACGCGTCCTTTTTCACGCTCTGCGCGAGTTCGCTGACGATCGCGCTCGTGACCGTCGCCCCGAAGGGCCATCGGCGGATCCTCGACCTGTCCCTCGCCGCGGCGCTCCTCCTCGCCTGGCTCGCCTTCACGGCCTACCACCTCGCGCACGCGCGGCGCCTCGTGCGGACCGCGCGGGCGCAGCTCGGCGACCCCCTCGCGCCGACGCCCTGCGCGGATTCGACGCGCAGCGGCACGCGGTCCTTCTTCCAGGCGAACCTGGCGGACCATCTGCCCGACCACCGCCTCAACCGCATCAACGCGCTCTCCTCGAAGGCCCCTCCGGGAGACGCGCCAGATTGGTAAAAAAAACACAATTAGCGGAAGGTGAAGCTCCGCGGCTCGTCGTCGTCGGCGAGCTCGACGCCGACGGCGCCGACGTCGAGGTCCTCGAAGCCCGTTTCGAGATCGTCGTCGTCGTCGTCGTCGCCGAAGACGACGTCCTCCTCCTCGTCGGCCTCGCGGTACTCGTAGAGGAAGGCGACGACGACGAAGCGCGTGCCCCGCGTGATCGCGTGCCCCGCGTGGGGCAGGAACCCCGGGAACGCCACGAGGCCGCCCGCGTCGCGGTTCACGGCCTGCCGCAGGTCGTGGAAGTAGGTGCCACCGCCGTCGTAGTCCGCGGAGGAGTTCAAAGGTAGCGTGATGGAGATCTGCGACTGGTCGCTGTGCAGCGGCAGCGACCGCTGCGCCGCCGCGGAGTACTTGACCAGAAACGCGTCGATGACGCGGAGCCGCGCGGGGTCCAGCCCGTAGAGCGCGCCGAGCGCGGGGAAGATCGACGACCGCAGGGCGTCGTTGAACCATTTGAGCAACGCCGGCACCTCGCGCACGGGCACGTCCGTGGTGGGCACGGCGAAGTGGCGCGCCGTCGTCCAGCCGCCGCCGTGGGACGCGTGGGCCTCGGCGATGGCGATGGCGTCGGCGCAGGACGCCGCGGGAACGACCGGTTCGTCGAACGCGTAGACGTACGCCGGCGGCTCGTCGTCGTCGTCGTCGCTCTTCGGCCGCTCGAGCGCCTCGAAGGGCACGCGCCGCTTCGCCCAGCCCGCGACGTCACAGGCCCCCGCGTGGTAGGCGTCGGCGTCGCCGACGTGCTTCCTGATGCGCGCGTCGTCGGGGGCCAGGTCCAAAGCCGCGCGCATGAGCCGCCGCTCGGCGGACCAGCGGTCCATCCAGCCCGTGACGCGCGCGCGGCCGTAGAGCGCGTCGGCGTCGCGCGGCGCTAGAACGAGGAGGGCGCAGAAGGCGGCGAGCGCGTCCTCGTGGCGGCCGTCGGCCTGCGCGCACGCCGCGATGTCCCGGAGAGCGTCCGCCGACGCGTCGCCGTGGAGGTCGTAGAGGCACCGCGCGCAGCCGCAGTCGCCGAGGCCCCGCTTGAACAGCGCCTCGCCGCGCTCCTCGACGTCCACGGCCGTCTCGCAGCGCGCGACGGTCCGCTTCGCGAAGGTCTTCCGGTCGCCGTCCACCGGCGCGAGCGCGACGCGGAGCGGCCCCGCGCCGGGCGCGGCGGCCGCGGCGTGCGTCGGCGCGCAGGCGTGGTCCAGGGCCATGGCCGCCGGGATGATGGCCAGGCCCTCGAAGCCTTCGAAGTAGATCTCCGCGTCGACGGCGACGTCGCAAAAGTCCAGGGCTTTGTCGCTTTCGCCGTCCGAGTCGTCGCCGTCGGGCGCCGCGCCGTCGATGAGCGCCTGCTGCGCGTAGGCCTCCCGCTGCTCGTCCGTGTCCTCGCGCAGCCAGTCGAGCAGGAACTGCTGCTCCGCCGCGTCGACGGCGCCCTTGCAGTAGGCGACGAGCGGAGACGGCCGCTCGACGGCGACCGCGGCCTCGACGACGTAGCCGACGAGCCGCGCAAAGACCGCGGCGTCGCCGCTCTCGGCCAGCGCCGGCGCGCCGGCGACGAGGAGCTTCCAGAGGGCCGCGGGCCGCACGCCCTCGAAGCGCGGGCCGCGCGGCGCGGCGCGTTTGGCGACCGCGGTCTTCAGCCAGGCGGCCGCGGCGCCCTTCGGCCTTTCGGCCGCGAGGGCCAGGACCTTGGCGGCGAGGACGAACTCGTCGAAGAGGCCCGACTCCATGGCCTGGACGCGGAACTGGACCATGGGGTCGTCCTCCTTCAGCGGCCCGCAGCACAGCGACCCGTGGCCCGCGGCGCGCGCGGCGGCCTCGCACGCGTTGCCGCAGTAGGTCTCGCCGCAGCCCTTCCGGCAGTAAACGACGCACTTCGGGGACACGCCGCGCACGTCGTGCTCTTTCAGCGCCTGCGCCAGCGCGTCGCGGCTCAGCGGACAGCGCTTCGCCACGCAGTGGAGCAGTGGGTGCTCGGACCCGCCGCAGGCCGCGCCGCAGTGCTGGCAGACGACGACGCAGCGCCGGTTCCGCAGGCGCTGCACGAAGGCCAGCGGCTCGAGGCGCGACTCGTCGACCATCGGTCGCGACATTGCTGCCGCCACAGCGCTAGCCATTCGCTTGTGGAGGAGCCGCTGTTTGCCGCGGCGGCGCGGCCGTCGGCGCCGTCGCGCGCGCGAACGCTGTCGACGCCGCCGTCGCCCGCGCCGCCCGCCCGGCCAAACGAAAAAAACAGCCGCATCCTTACGAGATCGTGCACGCCTTGCTCACCTTCTTCGCGAGGTGGTCGTAGACGACGACGGCGCGGTCGATGCCCGTGGGCAGGTTCCGCAGGAGCTCGAGGCGGTCCTCGTCGTAGCGCTTGAGCTCGGACTTGAGCTTCTTGTGCCGCTCCTGGGCGCCCCGGCTCAGCGCCTCGAGCTGGTCGATGGAGCCCAGCACGAACTGGCACTCCATCTCGTTCTCGCGGTGCAGCTTGCAGACCCACATGATCAGCCGCGTGTCGCCGCGGATCTTCTTCGGGATCATGTCCAGCCGCGGGTTCGACCGCAGGTTGATGGTCACGAGCGTCTTCGAGATGTCCGCGAGCGTCGGCGGGATCATCGCGAGCGAGTTGTTCTGCGCCTGCGGGAGAAAAAACGTCCCGCGAAACCGCCACGACATAAAAGCGCCGGGCGGCGCACGAGCAGCGTGTGGAGCTTGCGCATGTTGCCGACGGAGCGCGGCAGCGCGACGAGCTTGTTCTCGGAGCAGATGAGCTCCTCGAGCTGGTTGCACTTGCCGAGCTCCTCCGGCAGCGTCTCGATGTTGTTCCCGGAGCACTTGAGCTTCTTCAGGTGGCGCAGCACGCCGATGCGCGACGGCAGCGCCGTGAGCCGGTTGCAGGAGCAGTCGAACTCCTTCAGGAGCTTGAGGTCGCCGAGCTCGGGCCTGCGGCGGGGGGTAAAGGGTCGGAGGCGACGACAGCGCGTCTTCGACGCGGCGCCGCGGGTACGCGATGTGCTTCAGGCGGTTGTAGGCGAGGGACAGCGTGATGACCTCGAGCCCCATGGTCCAGACGATCTCGTCGACGTCGAGCCAGGCGCGGTGCGACAGCTCGAGTTTGCCCTCGGCGTCAGGCGTCGGCAGGAGCTCGTCGAACTCCTCCATGGCGCGCCGCTAGGGCTCGACTCCCGCGTCCTACCGCCGCATTGCGGAGGCCGCGCGCCTCTCGGGCCGGGCTGCGTTGGGGTGCGGCGGGACGCTGCCCACCTCGGCGCTTTTATACCGCTGGCGGCAACTTGACAAAGGTGCAGCAATATTGCCCCAAGTCGAATCGAGCGGCTCATCGCGGGCATGGGCATCGGGCACGGGCTCCGCGTCGTAACTTTGAACTAGCACAACCAGCGCGGCGCGCGACCTGAAAAGGCCACCGCCAGGAAGGCGCAACTTCGACTACAGCTGGCGCGTCGTCGTCATCATGAATGAACGCCCGCAGCTAGAGCGGGTCTTCGCCGCGGCGCGCGAAGGTGACCTTGAGGTGGTGAAACAATTTCTGAAGCGGGGCGGAGATCCGAATGCGCTACGAGATGATGATGAGGAGGGTGCTAGAAGTCTCAGTCTGCTCCACGTCGCTATGGATAAAGCAGCACATGGAGCGGACTATGACGAAGAGACGCGGGATGACAGGTCCGACATGATTCGTCTGCTAGTAGAGAATGGTGCAGACGTGGAATATAATAGTGCCGCTGGAATCGCTCCCCTCGTTTACTGCGAGTACCCTGGTGAGGCCTCCGTGTTGCTCGATCTTGGCGCTAACGTCAACGCTCGCCATAAAAACACCGGTTGGTCGGTCTTGCATTTTTACGCAATGCGAGTTCATGCCTTCGCTCTGACGCGCCTCCTCCTTCGCCGCGGGGCTGATCCTTACGCACGCAACCAGGATGGTGATCTCGCCGAGCCGGCGTATGAAACAAAGAGCGGCAGGACTGCTGCGGGCCTCCTCGCCGACGTGAGACGTGCGGGCGGCTGGGCCAAATACACACGCGCGCCGCGAATTGAGCTCGTGCGGCTTCGTTCGCTCTGCGCGCGCGGCCGCGCGACGCCACCGCCGAACGCGGTCCTCGAGCGCCTCTTCAACGCGAACGTGCAACGGGAGTGCCTCTATCACGGCGTTTGCAATCACAGCACCCACGAGTGCGCCGTCGTCAAGTCCCTCGTGGCCGCCGCCAAGGAGAATTGCCTCGCGGGCTGGCAGGATGACGAGCGCGGCCAACGCAGCCGGCGGATGGTGAGCCGCGCGCTGCCCAACGAAGTGTTCTGGCATATCCTCCGGTTCTGGCGATCCAGCCGCGAAGTCGACGACTAAAGAAGTCGCCCTTAAGCACCATGAACTCACGGGCAGACGTAGTCGTCGGGCCCCGGGTGGTGCGCGGTCCAGCCGAGGAAGGGGAGCTGGTCCCGCGCGGGCGCGTCGGGCATGGTCTGCATGGCCCGCGTAGCGCGACGCGGTGGCGCGCGACGCGGCGGATGACGCGGGGCAGGGGCCAGTCCACCGAGGGCCGCCGGGCCTTGGGCCACTTGGCCGTCTCGAGGAAGACCTCGCCGCACGTGACGGGCCCCTCCTTCCCCGGCGACCGCGGCGCGCCCGCCTTCTTCTTCGGCGTCGACCGGTCATAATCAAAAGCCGTCAGCGCCTGCGTCGGCGCCGTCGACGGCTTGTGGAGCGCGGGCTGCGACTTGCTGTGGACCATGGACCGCCGCGTGGCCGCGGGCGTCGCCGCGCGCGACCCGGGCGTCGACCGGTAGCCCCGGCCGCCCGGGTCCGTCGTCGAAAAATCCAGGCCCGGCGTCACGGGCTCGGCGATGGCCGCGAGCACCTCGTTGACGTCGCCGTGGAAAGGGGCCGCGTCCGCGTCGGGCCACCACAGGCGCAGCGCCGCGGCGTCGCGCGCGCGCGCGCGCGTCTTGTTCCACCAGGGCACGTTCTCCGGCGCGGGGATGCGCGTGAGGCGCGGCGGGCGCAGCGGCACGAGCTTCTTCTCCTTGCGCTTCTGCTTCCTTTTTTTGGCGACGACGTCGAACGCCGCCTGCGCGACGAGACCCGCGTCCTCGGGCTCGCGGTCGAGCTCGTCGTTGACGGCCGCGCCGACGATGTTCCACGTCGCCGCCGACACGGTGTGGGCCGCCGGCTGCTGCTCCGCGGGCTCGTCGATGGCCTCCCTGTTCAGGAGCTCGGCCTTGGCGGCCGCAGCCGCGCGCTCGCGCGCGGCCTCCTTCTCCGCGGAGCTGAGCTCGATGGTGCCCTCGGGGAAGGCGAGCGTGTCCCGGTTCTCCCAGCGGAAGCTGACGCCGAGGTCGTCGACCGCCGCGGCCTGCGCGCGCCGCGCGGCCTCCTCGTCCTCGCCGTCGCGGTCGACGTTGATCTTGCCGTCGAGCATGGCCCGGCCGGACTGCTGGAGCTCCTGCTTGAGCAGAATCTCCGCCGCCGAGGGGATGTAGACGTCGGGCGACTGGGGCCGCGACCGCAGGTCGCACGCGTTGACGGCCAGCGCGACGTTCTTCGACGCGAACGCGAACGAGAAGGCCTTGGAAGCGGCGAAGGCCGCGAAGGCCTCTCGTCGGGCGACCTCCTGGGCCTCCTCGTCGCGCCGGCGCACGACCTCGGCGCGCTCCACGTCGAAGGAGGGCTGCGCGGACGCCGTCGCCGCGAACGTGAGCGTGTCGTCGTCGGACGGCTCCCGGAGCGCGCCCGCGTCCCGGAACGCGCCCTCGGCGACGAAGGGCGCGCGCGTCTCCTCGAAAGTCCGCTGCGTCCGCACGCTCGCCGAGTCCTCGTCGCTCGCGGCCATGCCCGGCCGGGCCTCCTCGGCCATGGCGACGTCGTCCTCCTCGTCGGACTCGCGGAAGTCGAACGCGCTGAAGTCGATCGCGTCGGCCTGGAAGGACGCCTGCGTGTCGCAGGACGCGCTGTCGCGGTCCGAGCCATCCACCCGTAGAGGCGCCTCGAAGACGGGCGCGTAGAAGTCGCCGTAGTCGTCGTCGTCGCCGTGGACGACGAGGACGTCCGGCGGCGCGGGCGCGGCCGCGGGCGCGGGGCACGGCGGCGGCGCGTCCGCGTGGATGCGCGGCGCCGAGGGCCGCGACGCGCGCGCGGACGTGGGGGCGGACGGCTGCGGCGTGGCGTCGGCCTCGGGGATCCGCACGGGCCGGCTCTTCGGGTACGGGCTCCGCGGCGGCACCGCGGGGATGGGGCCCTCGGCCTCCGGGGCCGCGCCGTAGGCGACGGCGCGCCGCGCCACGGCGGCGGAGGCCATGCAGCGCTTCGCGACGACGGTGGCGAAGGACAGCTCCGACGGGGGCTCGCCGGCCGAGGGCGGGTCGAGCGCCGACGGCTGCGAGAGCGCCGAGGGCTGGGAGAGCTCGACAGCCGAGGGCTGGGAGAGCTCGACCGAGGGCTGGTTTAGCAGGGCCGCCGGGTCCGCGGGGAACGACGCCGGGTCCGCCCAGACCGAGAGGCGCCGGTAGGGCTGCGCCAGCGCGATCGTCGACAGCGTCTCGTCGTCGTCTTCGTCGCTCGACGGCGGCTCCACGAAGGCCTCGACGCGCTCGCCCGCGCGGCGGCCCCTGGCTTTCGGCGCGGGCGGCCGCGGCGGCGGCCGCCGCCTGAACGTCAGCGTCAGCGGCCGCGGCGCGTCGACGAGTCCGTCGCAGACGTCGAAGAAGGCGTCGTCGTCCGCCGCTTTTGCTTCGGCGCCGGCGACCTTCCACAGCTGGAAGGGAAAGTGCTCGCCGCCGAGGCCGCTCGCGTCCGTGGCGCCCTCGACGGCGATCCAGGGCCCGCCGTCGTCGTCGACGAGCGCGAGCCGCAGGCCCAGCGACGCGGTCGCGAACGCCCGCTCGAAGATTTCCGGGTCCTCGTCCGCCTCCTGAACGGGCGTCGGCGGCCGCAGCGGCGTGTTGATGCGCTCGGGCGTCGGCGCGTGGTGGAACATGTGCGCCGACTTGCGGTTGATGCCGAAGAGGCTCTCGGCGATGGACGGCCGGTCGTCGACCTCGTCCTCCTCGATCCTCAGCGGCCGCTGGGGCGTCTGGATGCGCACGGGCTGGGGCGCGCCGTGGAACATGTGCGCGCTCGAGCGGTGCACGCCGAAGAGCGAGTCGGCGATGGACGGCCGGTCGTCCATCTCCTCCTCGGGCGCCCTGGGCTCGGGCCGCTGGGGCGTCGCGATGCGCTCGGGCGTCGGCGCGTGGTGGAACATGTGCGCGCTCTGGCGATTGATGCCGAAGAGCGACTCGGCGATGGACAGCCGGCCGCCGTCGTCGTCGTCGGACGCGTCCGGCTCCGGCTCCGCGGCCGCCGGCTCTGGCTCCGCGGCCGCCGGCTCGTCGACGGCCGGCTCGACGGCCTCCGGCTCGTCGACGACGACGCGCTTGCAGGGCTCCATGTACTGGGGCTCCTCGAGCGACGACGGCTTCCAGACGAGCACGGAGTCGCGGCGGATCTCCGGCTTCTCCGCCGCCTCGTCGTCCGACGGCGGCTCCTCGAAGGCCGCGGGCTCCGCGGGCGGCCGCTCCGGCTCGGCCGCCGGCTGCTCCGCCGCCTCGTCGTCCGACGGCGGCTCCTCGAAGGCCGCGGGCTCCTCGAAGGCGGCGGGCTCCGCGGGCGGCGCCGCGTCCTCGTCGTCGGACGGCGGCTCCTCGAAGGCCGCCGGCACCTCGAAGGCCGCGGGCTCCGCGGGCGGCGCCGCGTCCTCGTCGTCGGACGGCGGCTCGTCGAAGGCCGCGTCCGCGGCCGCGGGCTTGCCCGGCGACGGCGCGTGGTCCCCCGGGTCCTGCGCGTCCGCGGCCACGGGCGCCCCGTCCAAGCTCCCGCTGCGGCTCCGCGAGTTAACCGACTTGCGCCGGTACTTGCGCTGCACGGCGACCCAGAGCGACCGCCGCGACCCGCGCTGGTCGCCCGCCGCGAACGCGGACGTGACGTCCGCCATGATGTCGATCTCCTGCTGCGCGTCGACGATCAGGTCCAGCGCCGCGGCGCGCTCGGCCTTCGTCGGCGCGTCGTTGCCGACGCCGGCGAGGTAGCCGTCGACGGCGTCCCAGCGGCGCTGGAGCCACGCGCGCTTCGTGACGGCGCCGTTCTCCTTGTCCCGGTCGACGGCTCGGAGCCGCCGCGCCGCGTCCTCGACGCCCGCGCCGCGGTCCAGCGAGTGGGCCACGGCGCGGTCGATCTTCTCCAGGAGCTGCTTCGCCTCGGCGGCGTCGTCGGCGGACGTGAGGTGCGACGCGTCCAAGTGGTTCGCCTCGCCGAGCTTTCTTTTTTTGGCTTCGAACGTCGCCGCGTCGATGCGGCCCTCGTCCCGGAGGTTGTGCAGCGCCTGGAGCCGGAAGACGACGCCCTCGGGCACGCCGGCCATGACCCGCGGCATCTCGAGCGCGTGGACGATCTTCCGCTTGCGCGCCATCGTCCGCGCCTCGTCCTCCAGGCCTCGCAGATCGGACTCGGAGAGGCCGAACTTGGCCCGGAGCCGGTCGGCCTTGAGCGCGTGGTCCCGGTCGCTGAGCACGCCGCGCGCCCGCAAAGCGTCGAGCGTCTCGAGCTTGACCAGGATGCCCTTGCGCTCCTCCTCCGCCGAGAGCGCCCGCTCCACGGCCGGCGGCGCGTCGTTCCAGCTCACGGACTTGCGCCGGCCGCCGGCCTGCGCGTCGGCGCCCACGTGCTCGGCCATGGCGCCGCCGACCCCGGGGTCCGGGGCGGCCGCTGCCCCGGCTGGGCGGCCGTCGGCGCCTGACAGACAGCGCAGCCCTGTCTTGCGAGAGAGCAAGGGTAAAGCAGGCGCGAGGGTGGATACCTTGCTGCTGCCGCTAGGGTAACTACGCTAGGCACGAGGCCGGCCCCGACCGCCTCGAGACCGACCTCCCGAAATCAACCTCAAGCTTTTGCGGATCGGCGGCCTTCGAGTTGCCGCCCAAGATCTCGTCGAGTGGCGCCAGCTGTGCCACGCCGGGGCACCAAACGTGCATCGGTGCGCTCGCGCAACGCGGCGCACCCCTGCCTGCATATAGCGCAAAAAAAAAATGGCGCTCGCATGCTCCGAGAGACGGGCGCGCCCGACTAGCCGATCTTGCCTCGTCGCGCTGGCGTTCCTGGCCACGACGAGCGCCCTGCGCGTCGGCGGCCCGAGCAGTCCCAAGCGCGTGCCGCCCCTGGGCGTGTCGACCCTCGACAAGCCCATCGTGGCCGCGGAGACGCCGAAGGCGCGGCCGCCGCCGCCGCTGTCCGACGCCGTCGACATGGTCGGGCTCGACGACGTCTTCGAGGACGACGAGCCCACGACGCTGACCGTCGAGGACGGCAAGGCGACGCAGAACCCCATCGGCTACGCCCTCGACTCCTTCACGGGCGTCGTCTTCAGCCTGCTCCATCTCGTGGACGACTCGGGCATCGTCGACAGCAGCAAGAATCTTCGGGTCTTATGGGCGCGCGCGCTGCTCGACCACGCGGGCGAGCTCGAGGACCCCGTCGCGAGGGAGCTCCTCCCGAAGCTCACGCGCGACGTGACGAAATGGGACGCGCTCCAGCCTTTGGCGAAGTTCGCGGAGTTCGTCACGAGCCGGACGAAGTTCATCGACGGCGCCCTCGACGAGTACCTCGCCGCGGCGAAGGCCCTGCCCGAGACCGCCGACGGCGGCCCCGTCCAGGTCGTCGTCATCGGCGCGGGGTTTGATACCAGGGCCATGCGCTACGCGGAGCGCTCCAAAGCCGAGAACGTCAAGTTCTTCGAGCTCGACCTCCCGCACGTCTGCGAGGGCAAGGGCCGGCTCTGGGACACCTGGGCCGCGGGCAAGGACTTCACCAAGCCCCAGTACGTGCCCTACGACCTCAACGACGCCGGCGACCCGTCGAAAATCTCCGCGATGGACGCGCTGCGGGACCGGGGCTTCGACCCGGCCGTGCCGACGCTCTTCTGCTCCGAGGCCGTGCTCTTCTACGTCGACGACGCGCCGAAGCGCAAGCTCTTCGAGACGCTCCTCCTCAGCGCGTCGACGCACCCGGAGTCCGCCGTCGTCCTCACGGACAACCTCAAGCCGCTGCTGATCTCGCCCTTCAGCCACGAGGCGCGCGCGTTCTTTGGGCAATCCGACTTCGAGCTCGTGAAGCACTCCGCGCGCTGGGGCGGCGCCGTCCACTACGCCTTCGCGGCGAAGCAGGGGTCCCGGCTCTTGACCCACTTCCAGCGCGACGCGACGGAGATCAAGAACTCGTTCCTGCCCATCTCCGGCGACGGCGCGGCGCTCCGGCGCGACGCGCCGTCCTTCGACGACGCGTGGTACGCCGTCTGCTACGACTGGCAGCTCGAGCGCCAGGCGGGCGACGACGGCGACGAGCTCGGCTTCACGCCCTACGCGACGCGGCTCTTCGGCGAGCCCCTGGTGCTCTACAAGGACGCGAGCGGCTCGATCAACTGCGTCGCGGACGCGTGCCCGCACCGGTCCGCGCCGCTGTCCATGGGCCGCGTCGGCGACGACGGGAACCTGCGCTGCTTCTACCACGGCTGGGCCTTCGGCGCCGAGGGGGAACGGGTCGACGTGCCCGGCGGCAAGAACTCGGGGCCCTCGAAAACGGGCAAGAAGTGCGCGGGCTCCGCGAAGCACTTCGCCGTCGCCGACGTCGACGGCCTCGTCTACGTCTGGCGGGGCAACGTGCTCGAGGCGGACCTGGATTTGCTTCCTCGGAAGGTGCCGGACGCCACGCCGACGCACGCCGTCGACACGGTCCTCGATTACCGCGTGGGCTTCGAGTACATCGTCGAGAACAACCTCGACTCCGTCCACCTCTTCCACCTCCACGACGGGTCCATCCCGCCCATCGCGGCGCTGGGCATGCGCCGCGACAACGTGAAGAACCTGCTCATGAAGCCCTTCGCCGACGACGTCGGCGTCGGCCACGTCGGCAAGCTCAAGGGCGCGCTCAAGCCCAACAAGCTCGTGCGCTTCGACGCGCCGAACGTCGTGCGCCACGGCGGCGTGTCCGGCTTCCACGAGGAGTTCCACATCGTGCCCGTCGCGCCGCACCGGACGCGGGTATTGCTGCGGCAGCACCTGCCCAAGGGGCCCATCCTCACGACGCTCCTGGGCGTGCCCGGCGTCAACGCGACGCTCGACAAGCTCGTAAACAACTGGAACTACCACATCGGCCTCGAGGACTACAACGTCATGCAGGGCCAGCAGCACATGATCGACGACCTGGGCGCGCCGCGCATCAACGCCGGCGGCAAGGGCGACGACCTCATCGCGCGGTTCTACGACTGGCGGGCCAAGGCCATGGAGAACGACGGCGGGTCGCCCTACTTTGACAAGTGGGCGCCGCGGTCCGACGGCGGCGACGGGCCCCGGGATTCCTACGGCCGGACGACCGTGCCCGACGGCGCCGCGCCGCGGGACTACAGCGACGTCGACGACGGGCCCCAGGGCACGCTCGGCATCAAGGAGACCTTCCACGCCGTCCACCCCGTCGCCGATTTCCCGCCGGCGAACCCGGAGCCGTACCTGCCGCTGTGGGACGCGCAGGCGGGCCTCTTCTCCGCGCTCGGCATCAAGTCCGGCTTCAACCCCGACAAGTGAGCGTCGAGACGGCCCTGTACATCGCCGCGTCCCCGCGTTCCCGGGCCGCGCCGCCGGAGCAGCTCGGTTTCCTCCCGGAAGCCTGAGCGCCCGCGCGCGCCCGGGACCGGGGGCCGGCGCACCCCCGCCACCGCTTCGATTTCGCCCGCGAACTCGCCCCGCACCAAGTAACCACGTGGAACGCACGACGTCGAGGGCAGGGTGTTACAGGGGGGGGGGGACATAACATGGGCCGCGGGAGCCGGAGGCCCCGGGGGCGGCAGTCACATCGAGCAACGAAGGTGCGCGGCCGCCGCGCGAAGATTGGGCGCGGCGGCGGGACAGGGGGCATCAAAAGAAGACAGTCCGGAGTGCGGATGGGCGCGGCGCCGGCGTGGCGCGCGACTTTTCAGGGCGGCGCGTCCAGAAGAAGGACTCGCGCCGGGATGAAGTGTGAAGCTGTTTCAAAGGTGACATGGATCTTGCTGGTGGAGCGGGGGGCACGGGCGCCCCCCCTTGGAGATAGGTGGTGCGACGTTGGAGGCGTCGCGGAGCTTGGTGTGTTGAATTCAGGCGTCGTCGACCCAGGACACGCGGCCCGCGTCCCGGGCGAGCGACAGGGGCAGGAGCGCGGCGACCTTGTCGAGCTTGACGATGGCCTCGCAGACCGTGTAGGCCTCGACGACGCCGCGGCGCACGCGGCCGCGGAACGACACGTCGCAGACGGCGCCCGGGGGCTTCCAGTCGTCGATGGACGCGCCGCGCCAGTCCGGCGGGACCTGGAAGGACGCGCGGGGCCCGTCGCGGTCGATGGCGGCGAGCTCGCCGACGGCGCCCTTCAAGACGTCGTCGTCGAGGCTCGCGTCGTCCGACGCCTCGCTGGGCGCGTCGTCCTTCTTCTCCGCCGCCGCCGGCGCCTCCGCGGCGGCGGCCCGGGCCGCGGCGAAGGCCTTGGCCGCGAGGTCCGCGACGGCCGGCGACGCGCCGGCGGCCCACTCGGGGCACTCGGGCGCGCCGCCGTCCCGGGCCGCGGGCCGCGGCGCGAGCGCCCGGACCGGCGGCGGCGGGTCCGCCGCCGCGGCCTTCTTCTTCGCCGGCGGCTGCGCCGGCGGGGGCGCGAGGGCCGGCCGCTTCGCCAACGGCGCCGCGACGCTCGGCACGGGCGCCGGCGGCGACGGCGGCGGGAGCGCGGCGACGACGGGCGCGGGCGGCGGCGCGCGCCGCGGCGGCGCCGCGGGCGCCGCGGGCGACGGCGGCGGCGACGGCGACGGGGGCGGTGTGAGGTAGGCGCCGACGGGCGGCGTCCAGGCGTGCGGGCCCCAGAGGTGGGGCGGCGCCAGCGCGCCCGGCGGCGGCGGGCTCGGCGCGCGGTAGCGGCTCCGGCGCGAGAGCGGGACGGCGACCTGGATGCGGTAGCGGTCGTCGGGCTTGAGGAAGGCGAAGTTGGCGATGTCGTCGACGCAGGTGATCGTCTTCGTGCCGCGGCACGCGCGCGTGAAGGACCGGAAGATGCACGGGACCTGCGCGCGACGACGCGCGTCGGGCACGGGACGAGAACCGTCGAGGGAAAGACGCGGGCCGCGCGCGTGATACCAGTGCGTGCGGCCGTGGACGGAGTTGAGGCTCGGGGGGATCTTGCCGATGCGCAGGTCGCCCTGGGCGATGAAGGCTGCGCACTTGGCGTCGCGGCATTTCGCGCGGCTGTCGATGGCGTACTCGGCGACGAACTTGTTGCTGCCGAGCTTCCCCGCGAGCAGCCCGCCGATGTGGCCGTGGCCCTGGGCCGCCGCGCGGCTCCGCGCGGCCTTGGCGGCGGGCTGGTCCCGCCCGCCGAAGGGATCGTCGCCGGCCCAGGCGAGGGCGCCGCCGCGGCCCGGGGCAGCCTTGCCGGGGGCGTAGGCGTCGGCCAGCGGGCGGGCCTCGCCGCCGGGCGCCGCGAGGGGCCGCGCAGCGCCCGGGGGCCACAGGGGGGCGCCCCCCGGGGCCACCCCGCGGATCATCGTCCACCGCGGACGACTACGAGGCCACCACCGACCAAGTGGAAGGCCGCGACGGCCCAACAATAATGGATATAGTCGGGGATTCCTAGATATGTTTTTGTGCGTCGTGATGATGGGAATGTTGACGCTTCTCGAACTCGCCGCCGCACCGAACGAACAGTCCTTGCTCGCCGGCGTCATGGCGCGCCTCGGGGGCATCCACGAGGAAGGCCTCTTCGGCGGCGTGCCGGCGTTCGTGGATCGCGCGCTCGCCCCGGGCTACAGCGACCAGACCAAGGCGCTGTCCCTGAAGTCGACGGCCAGGGACATCGCGACCCTGCGCCACTTCTTCCTCTCGCCGAACCTCGTCTGGTTCGCCATGGCCCTGGCCATGCACCTGGGCTGCCCCTACGACGTCGACGATGCGGCCGCGGGCTGGGCGCGGGGCTGGGTCCTGAAGCGGCTCGCGCTGAACTTTTCGGTGGCGTTCGCCTACTACGGCTACTGGCACTTCATGCTCTACCGCACGAAAGACCAGGGCGGCGCGAGCCGCAAGTACGAACCCGACTCCTGGCCGACGGCGGGCAACATGGCCCACAATTTGTGGTACTGGTCGCTGGGCGTGGCCCAGTGGACGTTCTGGGAGTGCGCGATGTGTAGAATTTGGGGAACCGGCGGCGCGGACTTCGCGACGGACGCGGCGGTTTTCGGAGATTACACATTACTCCTGAAGAACGCGGCGGTCCTGCTCCTGGTCCCCGTCTGGCGGGACTTCCATTTCTATGTCGCGCACCGCTTCCTCCACGTCCGCGCGTGCTACAAGTACGTGCACGGCCTGCACCACAGGAACGCGGACCCGGAGCCCTTCTCGGGCATGTGCATGCACCCCGTCGAGCACCTGTACTACTTCTCCAACGCCTTCTTCCCGACGCTGCTCGTCGACGGGCTCAGCCCGCTCGTGTTTCTGTGGGTCTTCGTGCACCTGTCGATCGCGCCCGGCGCCGGGCACTCGGGCTTCGAGGACCACTTCCAGGCGGACCAGTACCACTACCTGCACCATCGCAAGTTCGAATGCAACTACGGAAGCCCCTCGTCGGCCTTTTTGGACCAGTTCTTCGGCACGTTCCGCGAGAAGCTGGGGAAATCGGGCGCGTACTCGGGCGGCGCGGCCGACGAGCAGACGGCGGACGCGTTCGCGAAGCCGAACAAGGACGGCAGCGACCCCGCGGCCAAGGGGCCCAGGGGCAGAACGGTCTGGTCCAAGGAGGGCTACCTCGGCCGCCCCCAGAGCGCGACGCACTTTGTGTATTCCTGCGTGGTCACGCCCGCGCTGGCGGCGCTCGCGGTTTCTGTCGCTGTGGGCCCCGCGCTGTCCGAGCGCGACGCGTCCCTGGCCGCGCTCCTCGTGAGCGTCTTTCCCGTCGTCGCCGCGCTGGTGCTCTGCTGGGTGTCGCGCGACGCGCTCTCCTGGCGCTGGCCCTTCCACAAGGAACGCGGCGCGTTCCTCCTCTTCCAGGCCCTCGCGGGCCTCTGCTGCGTCCTCCCCGTCTTCATGGCCACGCGCCTCGTCGCGCTCGCGTGAGAAACGGCGCGCTTAACGATTTCGAGCTGTCGGAGCGCCGAGCGCGTCTCGTGCGCCGTCACGACGGTCGGACGCCGTCGACCGGCGCGCTCGCCGAAGAACAACCAAGCCAGCGGCAGCACGCTGATGCTATGGAGCTGACGCAGCACTGCTGAACACGCGCATCGCAACTCGTCGCTGAACACGCGCATCGCAGCTCGTCGAGGCACCATCTGCAACGCAGAGCAGCGCCTATCGTCGCAGTCACCATTGGGAACGCCTTGCTCGCCGCGTGTCGCACGACGGGGAACGCCTTGCTCGCGGCCTGTCGCGGCGTGCGCCGGCGCCGGGCCATGAGCGCCCTGCTCAGCGCGGGCCCCGGCGCGCCGGCGACGCCGCCGTCCCATGCCCCCCTGCCGGCGCCGTCGTCCGCGAGCTCGCTGGCGACGCTCGGCAGCCGGTCGGCCTTCGACGTCTTGAGCGACGGCCCGCTCGAGCACGTGCTCACGTTCCTCGATTGCAAGGCCCTCTGCGTGTCCAAGGTCGCCATGCGCGACTTCTTAACCGTCACCGCCCACCCGCGCTTCGTCGCCCGCCTCAAGCGGCTCCGCGGCTTCGACGACGCGCCCATGGCGCCCATGGTCGACGCGCGCGAGCGGTCGTTCCACCTCGACACGGCCGCGCTGGCCACGACGGTCGAGCGCGTCGCCGTCTTCGAGGAGCTCCGGGCCCTCGAGCGGAACCACGTCGCCTTCCACCTCGCGACGCTGACGCCGACGCGTAGATCCGCGCGGCTCGTCGCCAAGTGGGTCGGGCTCCTCAAGCGCCACCCGTCGCTCCGCGTGCGAATCGACGCGCACTGCGGCGTCGGCGCACCGGCCTCCATCGCCCCGGAGCACTCCGTCCGGCGCGCCCTCAAGGTCGCGTCCATGTTCAAGCGCGCGGGCGTCGCTGTCGAGCGGCAGGCTGTGTGCAAATCAACCAGTGAGCTGGGACGTCGGGGCCAAACTTCAGAATTCTCTAGCTCGGTCAAATCGAAGTCGATTCGGCTGATTTTTGGACGAATCGATTGCTCTCAGCGAGTTCTCGAAGCACGGCGGAAGTGCTCGTGTCAAAACATTCGAATACGCGCACTTCGAAGTCGGGTTGAAGATTTGAGTTCCACGCAGACGGCAAGAGGCGCTCGCGTGGTCCTACGACGTCGGCCTCGCGCACTTCTGGCCGCCGAGCCAGGAGTTCGCGCGCGCGGAGATCTACGCGTCCTTCCCGCAGGCGGGGCCGGCCTTCGCGCCGTCGCTGCCGCGCTACTACGACAACATGCGCCCCGCCGCGCGCCTGTCGTCCGACATCCTCCGGGAGATCCTGTCGCAGGACGACGACACCGACGAGCTGCCCGAGTCCGACGACGACGACGACGAGGACGAGGACGACTCCGTCGGCGGCGGGCACGTGTACGCCTCGGACAGCGACGGCGACGACACGGGCGGGTCGTCCGAGGAGGAGGAGGACGACGACGGCGAGGCGCCCGCGTACGAGCCGCTCCTCGAGGAGGCGGCCTAACTACATTTTTACCCGAAGCTGGCGTCCTCGCCGCCGGCGGGCCGCGTCAGCAGGGGCGCGTCGGCGAAGAGGCGCCGCGCGGTGAGGCCGTGGGCGTCGACGCGCGGGTCGCTGAGCGACGCGAGGACGATCATCGCCGTGGCGGAGACGCCCGCGACGTCGCGCGCGAAGACCAGGTGCGCGAGCACGAGGCGCCGCAGGTCCGTGTTCTCCGTCCGCGTCAGCAGTTTCGTGATCGCCAAAGGCGTCGCGAGCGTCGCGTGGCTCAGATCCAACTCCGCGAGGCCCCGGTCCCGGCGCACCAAGGGCCAGAGCGCCGCATCCGGGTCGAAGCCGCGGCAGCCGACGAGGTGGAGGCGCCGCAGCTTCCGGCAGCCGTCGCCCAACACGGTCAGGCCCGCGTCGCTGAGGCGGAGGCCGTGGACGGCGAGCGCGCGGAGCTGCGTCGCCGACGCGCCGAGGTCCGCGAGCACGGGGTCGAAGTCCATCCACGTCATGCACATGGACAGGTCCAGCGCGACGAGCGTCGCTCCCAAACGCCGCGCGAAGATCTTCGCCTCGTCAAAGTCGACGCCCCCCGCGAAGGAGACGTAGGACGCGTCGAAGGACGCGAGCCGCGGGCAGAGGCGCGCGATCGTCGACACGGGGACGCGCGCGGTCGCGCCGCCCGCCTGATGCGTCTGGCGCTGGCCCACCCGCAAATCCCGGAGGCGCGGGAAGAGCGCGCCCACGGCCTCGTCCCGCATCGTGTGGTGGAAGAAGAGGTCCTGGAGCTCCGCCGCGGAGCTCTTGGGCGCGTGGAGATCGCAGGTGAGGTCGAGCGCGACGAGCGTGTCCGCCGCGCAGAGGCCGAGCCAGCCGCACGACACGGAACTCCGGCACCTGAGCACCTGGAGCGGCAGCCGCAGCGGCCGCGGCTCGAGGCGCGTCCAGAACGACGCGCGCGACGCGGAGAAGCCTTCCGACGCGCTGTCGGCGAACCACGCGGCCTCGGGCTGCCACCTGGGCAGGAAAAGAGTGCGAAATTTCCAACTTTGGAGGCTCATATCTCGGTCGTTTTCCACTCGCGCGCGCGCGGAACACTCATGTTGAAGCGAACGTGCATCACTCTTTTCCTGCCCTGGCCGCCACTCGTCCTCGCCGACGTCGAGGCGCCGCGCGCGGTCGCAGGCCGCGAGCGCGTCGAAGAGCCGGTCCTCGGCGCCGCGCTTCGCGACCCGCTCGCAGAGCGTCGCGGTGAGGGCGAGCGTCTCTCGCCGTCGAAACGTGCGGGCGACGGCGGCGGCGTAGCCGCGGGCGGCCGGCTTAAGGCGGTGCAGGAGCTCCCAGGGCGACACGTAGCACAGGATCTCGTCGAGCAGCGCGTCGTCGAGGAGCGTCGTCAGCGGGCACGGCCGCGGCTTGGGCTGCGCCGCCTCGTCGAGCAGCGCGCCGTCGAGGAGCGGCTGGGGTTGCTCCATCATGACAGCGCGAGAGCGGGGCTGCTGATGCCGTCACGGAGCGGCGATGATGCTGTCTCGCGGTTGGGAAGTCGTGCGCCGCCGAAGCTGCTCGACGTGCGCGCCGCGGCAGACGATGTCTGGCAAGGAGAACTTCGCGAGCCCGCCGGCGCACGGCGGCGCTGGCCGGACGCCGCTCCAGGACGCGGAAAACATCACCTTCCGCGGGAGCGAGGTCGACCTCTTCTCGCCGAGCCAGGATATCTTCTCGCCGCACATCACCGTGCGCAAGCGGCGCCGCGGCCGCCGGGCGCACCAGGACGCCGAGGCCTGGGCGTCGCCCGTGCCCGCGGACGACGACGATGACGACGAGGCGCCCTTCGTCCCGCCGGGCCTCGTCGTCGAGCGCGACGTCGCCGCGGAACCGCAGGCGGCGGAGCCGGCGCCGGAGTCCGCGCCCGTCTTGTCTCCCTGCGGCGACGCCGGCCCCGAGGTCGTCGCTCTCGCCGACGCCGAGGACGGCGACCCGTCCGCGGGCTACGATCCGCGCTCGCCGGCGAAGCCCGCCCCCAACCTCACGTGCGTCTCGCTCCGGAAAGTCGAGCGGCCGGCGGCGACGACGCGGCCCGTGTCGCCGGAGAAGCTGGACTTCGTCGCGGAGCTCGTCTCGCCCCTGCTCGCGTCGCCGGAGGCGTTTCGGGACGGGGGGCTCGCGTCGCCCGAGCCGGCGGCCGCGCCGGAACCGCCGCTCGAACCGCCGGCGCCGCTCCGGAGCGGCCGCGCGCGGCGGTCGCTGGACGCGCTGACGACCTTCGCGGACCGCACGGCCGACGCGCTGCCGCTCGCCGAGGTCGAGTTCCGCCGCGCGACGACGCGCGACCGGGGCGTCGTCCACCCGAACTCGTCGTTCAGACGCCTCTGGGACCTCGCGGCGATGGTCGCGGCGCTGGTCGTCGTCGCCGGCGGCGCGCCCGCGGCGCGGGCCCGCGCGCCGCGCGTCGCGACTCTGGTCGACGCCGGCGGCTCCGCCTTCTTCCTCGCGGACGTCGCGCTCAACTTCCGCACGGGCTACGTTTCCAAGGGCACGCTCGTGCTGCGGTCCGGGCGCATCGCGGCGCGCTACGCGTCGACGTGGCTCGCGCCGGACCTCGTCACGGCCCTCGGCCACAGCGCCCTGGTTCGCGACGGCGCCGCGGCGCTCTACGGTGCCTGGCGCGGCCGCGGCGGAACGCCCGCGGCGCGCCGCTGTTCGAAGGGGTCGCGCGACTCGCTCTTCGCGCACTGCTGGCCGCCGCCGCCGTCGCCGCTGCAGATTTTGCGGAACGTGCGGGGCGCCCTCGGCGCGCGGCGCGCGCTCCAGCGGCGCGGCCCGTCCTTCCTCGGCGCGACCGTCGACGCGTGGCTCTGGTCCGCGGCGAAGGACCCCGCGTCCGCCGTCGCCACGATATTACGGCTCGTCAAGCTCCTCGTGGCCCTCAAGTGCCTCAAGTGGGCCAAGCTCCTCCACGTCCTGCTCCGCGCCCTCGCCCTCGCCCGCAGCGGGCGCAAGCGCGCGGACGCGAAGCGCGCGGACGCGGCCGTCGTCCGCACGCCCGCGAAGGAGCTCCGCGCGAGCCGCACCGTGACCCGGCGCCGGGGCCGCTTCTCCGTGCTCTAAATGCCCTTTTTACTCGTGCCCTTGACCTTGACCTTGAACTTCTGGGACGCGGGCCTCGCGCCGTTGGGGTCGAACCGGAAGCCCGGCGGGAGGATCTGGATGTCCGAGTTCTCCGGCGTGGAGTGGTCCGAGGTCATGAGCGGGACGCGGGAGCAGTAGGCCCGGCAGGTCCGATACGCCGCCTTGAGGGCCGTGTCGAGCTGCCAGTCCAGCGGGTAGAGTCGCTCGCGGAGGTTCCGCGCGCCTTTCGCGCGCATGGCGATGCCGGACGTGCCCGCGACGGACTCGGGCACCGCGAGCAGCGCGCGGATGGTTTTGTCCTCGATCTCGGGCTTGGCGAAGGTTCGGTCGTCGCCGAAGTAGCCGACCTGCAGGAAGTCCCAGCCCGGGTCGTGCGCGTCGGCCGCGGCGACCGCGTCCGCGAGCTTGGCGCCGAAATCCTCCGCGAAGCTCGCGTCGTCCTCGGCGATCAAAAAGACGCGAGTTTCGTCGCCCGCGGCGCCCGCGGCCTCGAGCTCGCGCGCGAAGGTCAGCGCCAGGCCGACGGCGCCGGGCGTCAGGGACACGCCGTTGACGTATTCGGGCGGCCGCCGCGCGGTCGCGAGGCCCTCGCGCGTGACGAGCTCCGGCGGCACGTCGCGCGCGAGGTCCAGGATCGCGCCGTCGGCCGCGTCGAAGCGCCGGAGGTCGCGCTCCGCGAACCCGGCCGCGAGCGCGCGCCGCCGGAAGCGCGCGTCGCGGTCGGGCCGCCGGTCCAAATTCGCGTAGAAGCACGTCGCCGCGACGGGCGCGGCGGGCGCCGCGGCCACGCGGAGCGCGACGGCCGCGCCGCCGGCGCCCACGACGTCGCCGATGGTCGCCTCCGCGCGCACCGGCGCGCCGCCGTCGCCGTCGCCGGCGAGGTGCAGCCGCAGGGCCGCCGCGGCGACGCCCGGCCGCTTCTTCGCGTAGACCTCGAGGAGCTTGCGCGCCGGCTTCGACCGCCACTTGTCCGGGACCAGGAGCCGCAGCGGCGCGGCGCCGTCCGCGAGCAGGAAGACCTCTTGTGGCGCCGCCATCATATCGGGCTGCCTCCTCGAGGGTTAATCGCGGGAGGTTGCACCTTCAACGAAGAGGGGCTTAGGGAATGCGCGACCTACTCGAGGACGTCGGCGATGGCCGTGGCGAGCTGGTCGACGTTCTTCGTGTTGATGCCGGCCATGGAGATGCGGCCCGACTCGAGCATGTAGACGTGGTGCTTCTCGCGGATCTTGAGGACCTCGGACTTGGTCATGCCCGTGTAGGAGAACATGCCGATCTGCGACGTGATGTGGCTCCAGTCGCGGCCCGTGTCCAGCGAGTCGAGCTTGGCCCGGAGCGCCGTGCGCATGTCGCCGATGCGGCTCGACATGACCTTGAGCGTGTCGAGCCACGCGGCCTTGAGGTCCGGGTCGTCGAGGACCGCGGCGACGACGCGCGCGCCGAAGGCCGGCGGGTTCGAGTACATGGCGCGCGCGACCTTTTTCAGGTGGCCCCGCACGGCGTCGGCCTCGTGGGGCGACGCGACGGTCGCGTGGACGGCGCCCGTGCGCTCGCTGTAGAGCCCGAAGTTCTTCGAGAAGGACACGCACGCCCACGGCGCCAAGCCCTGCTGCAAAAAGTAGCGGAAGGGCCACGCGTCGGCGTCCAGATCGCCCGTCGCGAAGCCGAGGTAGGCCGAGTCGAAGAGCGGGAACAGACCCTTGCGCTTGACCAACGCCGCGAGCTCCTTCCACTGGTCGCGAGATGGGTCGACGCCCGAAGGGTTGTGCGCGCAGAGATGCAGCAACACCACGGACCCCTCCGGCGCCGCCTCGAGGTCCGCCAACAAACTCGACCACTCCAACCGCAGCCCCGCCTTGTCGAGGTAGGTGTAGGGCCGCGAGTCGGCCCAGCCCGCGTCCTTGAAAATGTTCCAGTGGTTGCTCCACGTGACGGCGGGGATGTACGCGGTCCGCGGGCCCGGGTAGTGGCGGTTCAGGAACTCCATGGCGAGGCGTAACGCGCCCGTGCCGCTCAACGCCTGCACGGTGACGACGTCGTGGTTCGCCTCCTCGGGGCCGTAGAGCAGGCCCTGCGCGAGCTTGTTGTAGCGCTCGAAGCCGTCGATGCTCAGGTACTCGTGCGTCGTCGTGCCGTTGGGGCCGAAGAGCCTCTCGCGCGCGGCCTCGACGGGCGGCAGGACCCAGGGGTTGCCGTCGTCGTCGCGGTAGGCGCCCACGCTCAGCCCGATCTTCGTCGGCGTGTCGTCGGCGACGAACTGGGCCTTGATGCCCAGCACCGGGTCCGCCGGCGGCACGGCGACGTCGCCCCAGCGGCTGATGCACTCCTGGGCCGTCGCGAGCGACGCGAAGTATGCGAGTTTCATCATCGTTGTCGTGCTGCACGCTGAGGACGGCGAGCAGAACTGCAATGTTGCGGCATTGAATGCCCCCTCGCAATATCGAGTGCGGCGCAAGCTCCGGGGCTGCCCATCTCGAGCAGCATGCAGGGCGGATACGAGGCCGTGGACTCGCCGCGGGCGGCGTTCCGCTCGCGGTCGCGCGTCGTCGGCGCCGCGACCTTCCTCTTCGCCGCCGGCGCCCTGGCCCACCTCGGGCGCACGGCCCAGCGGCCCGGCGCCGCGGAGCTCCTGGACGAGGTCGCGGCGTCGTCGGGGAAGCCCACGGTGCACGCCTACGCCGACGCCCTGTGATCCGACTGCCGGAGGCACGCGCTCACGCTCCACGAACTCATGTTGAGCAAGAGCGACGTCCTCGACGCCATCGATCTGAAGATCGACTACATCGGCGCCGCCGCCTCCGTCGAGGAGCACGGCATCACGCTCATCCCCGTGAACGAGTACATGCTCTGCGCCGAGGAGCTCCTGGACCTGCCCCAGAGCGAGTGGTGGCCCTTCACGCACTGCGCCTTCGAGATCCAGAAGTGCATGAACTACGTTTCTCGCGAGGAGGCGGGGATGACGTCGTGCGACGAGGCCGACTCGGGCTCCGACGACGCCATGGCCCTCGCGGGCACGGAGCGCGACCTGAGCACGTGCACGTGCACGCTCGAGGGCGTCGTCGAGTACTGCGCCGAGACCCACACGTCGACGACCCTCGCCAAGCTCGCGACGTGCAAGGACTCCGACGAGGCGTCGAAGCTCTTCAAGACGTCCAACGCCGTCGCCGACGCCATCAACTCGGGCCACCCGCTCTGGGTCAAGATCAACGGCGTCGAGTACGCCGGGCCGTCGGACCCGGACGAGACGACGGCGACGATGGACGCGTGGGCGGAGCAGGTGCTCAACGTCACGTGCCAGAGCCTCGGGTCCGCCGTGAGCTCCTGCGCGCCCTACGTCTAGGCGCGCGCCCGCCGCGTCCCCGGCCGCCGGGCCAAGCGGGCGCGGGGCGACGGCGACGCGCGGCGCCGCCGACATGACGGACCGCGCGGGAGCTCCCGGCTTCCCGCGCGGTCCCGACCCGGCGCGCCGCGCGGCACCGCGCCCCCGCCCATCCGGCGGCCCGGGGCGGCGGCGACCCCCCGTCCCCCTACGTATATATGTTTCGACACTGATCGCCGACGCGGCGCGCGCGTCGCTTAGGTGGCCCGAAGATGTGAGCCGTCGTCGGGCCCGGGGCGCGCGCGCGCGCGGGCCGCCGCCGCGGCGGCGACCGCGCGCGCGGCGGTGTTCACATGCGCTTGTAGAACGGCACCGCGGTTCGCGCGACGCCGCCCACGAGCGCGATGAAGCAGCCGAAGGCGGCGAAGATGAGGCCGAAGGCGACGACGAGCTTGAGATCCTTGGCCGCTGCCTCGCAGGTCGTGATGCTCTCCAGCTCCTCCGCGCTCATCTTCCGCGTGGGGCGCCTCTCCCACCGCAGCTCATCGAACTGTCGTTTCGGCGTCTCTCTCGTTGGGCGCGTCCACCGCAGCGGCGGGTCGTACTGGCGCGCTGAGCGATGGAAAAAGGAAGGCTCTCGACGCAAAGCCCTCTCTAGCTTCGTACTGGCCTTGCATAGGTTTCGATGCTTTGCCATAGTCGACTCCGACGCGCGCGAGAAGTGGACTTTGCGAAGCTCGAGCGCGGCTGCGGCGCTCGAAGCGCGCCACCAACAACTTTGCTAGGTCGATGCTGCCCCATCGCGAGACAAGGAACCAATCAAAGCCTGGCAGGCCCAGAGACGGGGCCTGGTTCTGGCGCCCGACGTCCGGCGCCCCGGTGCCGTCGAGAGGCCTGCGCGCGCGCATGGGGGCGTCCTGAGCCGTTTCGGGCGTGCCTCGACATGGGGGGGCACGGCGACCACTTCCTCGTGCCCGTCTTCATCTATGCGGTCTACGGCATCTGCGTCCTGTCCGTGCCGGCCTGCGGCGCGCTCATCGGGGCGCTCTGGGGCCAGGTGCGGAACACGCGGCGGGGCGTCTTCGCGCGCCAGCTCATGCACCTCACGGTCGCCGACCTCCTCGTGACGTCCTGGGTGTTGGGCTTCGAGCTGAGGCTCCGGCCCCGCATCGCGCTCGAGACCGACGCCGCGTGCGCGGTCTTCAAGGCGGGCTTCTACGCGCTCTACGCCGTGACGTTCCTCATCTTGGTGGGCCTCGCGGCGACGCAGGCGGCGCTGCTGCTCCACCGGCCGGCGCTGGAAAGGGCGGCCGCGCGCGCGGTGCCGCTCGTCTGGTGCTGCGCGCCGCTCGTCTCCGCGCCGACGCTCGTCTGGGGCGCCCACCTCGGCGACGACGGCTACTGCCACGGCAACGTCGTGCAGCACGTCGTCTTCTCCGTGCTGTTGAGCCTCGCGTTCCTCGTCGTCGTGGTCGTCTACGCGTGGAGCCTCCGCGTGGCCATCGCGTCGAACGCGCGCGTCCCCGCGCGCGACGCGCCGGGCGCGCGCGCGCCGCCGTCGCCGTCGGGGTCGTCGAGCGTCACCCAGGAGGCCGTCGTGCCGCGGAGCGCCGCGCGGCGGTCCGCGCGGCGCTATGCGACGTTCGTGTCCATCTTCTGGGTCTGCTGGGCGCCCTACGTGGCGCTGAAGCTCATCCTCATCTGGAAGCCCTTGGACGAGGACCAGACGCGCTGGCTCGACTGGTTCACCATGGTCTGCTACTCGTCCCAGGGCCTGCTCAACTCCGCGGCGTACGGCTTCTGGCACCGATCCGACCGCGCGCACCGCAGCGTCGCCTTCGCGCGGCCGCCCAACGTCTGCGACGACTTCGACGGCGCGCCGCCGGGCGAGGCGCCGCGCCGAAACGGCTCCTTCGCCTGCCCGCGCGCGATCTTCGGCCGCGGCAACCTCGCGAACCTCCCGGACGACGACGACGACGACGACGACGCGCCGGGCGGCGGCGCCGCCTACCGCGTCCTGCCGGGCGGCGACGAGAACCAGGCCGACGTCGCGTGACCTTAAACTGTGTGTTTTCCGTTTTTTTGGAACTTCAATCTATTTTGTTGCACCATTCTTGGGGCTGCCTCGACACGATGGAAAGTGCGCGGTCGTAAGATGGTGCGCGAAGAGCTCGTCGTGGACGTCCAGGGCGTGGAGCGGTCGCTCGTCGTCCACTGGGGCGCGTCCGACGCGCTCCTCGTCGTGCTCCACGGCAGCACCGAAGCGCTGGAGCACGACCCGCTCTACCCGGCCACGCGCTTCGAGAAGAACTACGACGCGGACTATTTCCAGCCGCACCGCGATTCGCACGGCTATACACAAATGTACCTCGCAGCTTCTATGAGGAACGGCTGGTTCTGCTGGCAGAACAACGGCGAGGAGTTCGGCACGTGCTCGCGGGACGACGACGGCGACGACGCCGCGTTCGTGGAGCGCGCGGTCCAGCTCGCGAACGCCTCGGAGCTCTATGTCTTCGGCATGTCCGGCGGCGCGAAGATGGCCTGGAAGCTCGCGTGCTCCGCCGACGGCGTCGGCGTCGTCGGTGGCGCGCTCGCGCCGTCGCTTCGGACGAAGGCCCATTGCGCCACGCCCGTCGCCGCCTTCCACGGCTTGGAGGATCCCTACGTCGACGTCGCGGTCGCGGACGACACGGCGACGTGGTGGCGCGGCGCCCACAACTGCTCCGGCGCCGCCGGCTTCGCGACCGGGCTCCACGACTTCCGGGGCTGCGGCGCGCCCGGGCGGCTCGCGTACTACCGCCTCGCCGGCGTCGGCCACACGATCCCGGGAGCGCCTTTCGTCTGGTCGGGCCTCGGCGGGACGTCGTCCTACGACTCCCTCGCGGCCATGTGGGACGTGTGGCGCGGCGGCGACCCGGCCCCGGTCCTCGACGGCGCCAAACACCGCGCGGCGCCCGGGCTGTTCCCGCTGCTGCTGCTCCTAAGATGCTTCCTTTACGGGCACGGGTCGAGCGCCGCGGCCGCGCGGACGAAGGCGAGGAAGGGCGGCGACGGCGACAGCGGCCGGCTCTTGTACTCCGGGTGGAACTGGCAGCCGAAGAAGAAGGGGTGGTCGCCGTCGAGCTCGACGACCTCGGCGCGCCGGCCCGTGTCGTCCTTGCCCGAGAAGCGGAGGCCGCCGTCCTCAAGCTCCGCGACGAGGTCCGGGTTGACCTCGTAGCGGTGCCGGTGGCGCTCGTCGACCTCGCGCGCGCCGCCGTAGACGCGGCTCGCGAGGCTGTCCGCCGCGAGGAAGGTTGTCCGGCTGCCGAGGCGCATGGTCGCGCCCATGGTCGTCGTGCTCCCCTCGGGCATGAAGAGCACGGCCTCGTCGCGCGTTCCCGCGACGGACCCGTCGAACTCGGAGCTCGTCGCGTTCGCGATGTCGAGCACGTTGCGCGCGAACTCGACGACGGCGAGCTGCATGCCGAGGCAGATGCCCAGGAAGGGCGTCCCATGCTCGCGCGCGTACTTGATCACGTCGATCTTGCCCTCGGTGCCGCGGTCGCCGAAGCCGCCGGGCACGAGGACGCCGCCCGCGGCCTTGACGGCGCGCCAGCTCGCGGCGTCGCCGTCCTCCAGCTTCTCGCTGTCGACGAATTCGATGCGCAGTTTCCGATCGCTCGCGACGCAGGCGTGCTTTAACGAGGATTGCACGCTCAGGTACGAGTCGGCCTGCGCGTGGTACTTGCCGACCAAAGCGACGACGACCTCCCGGTCGCTCGACTCCATGCGCGTCGCCATGGCCTTCCAGGACTCGCCAAAGGCCGCGTCTCGTTGCAGCGAGACGCCGCCGTCGCTGCGGCCCTCGAAGACCGCGCCGGACGACCGGTAGCTCGTGAGCCGGAGCTGCTCCGAGATCAAGATGTCTAAATTTCGGTCGAGCATCTCGAGGGGCACGCGGTAGATGTTCGGCACGTCGTAGAGGCTCAGCACGCGCTCCGTCGGCACGTTGCAGAACAGGCCGATCTTGTCGCGCGTCGCGAGGCCGACCTCGTGCGCGGACCGGCAGACGATGAAATCCGGCGTGAGCCCGAGCGACCGCAGCTCCTTCACCGAATGCTGCGTGGGCTTCGTCTTCTGCTCGCCGGGCGGCGGGCCCGTCGTCGGCACCATGGACACGTGCACGAGGCAGAAGCCCGACGGGCCGTGGCGGAGCTGGAGCTGGCGGAGCGCTTCCACGAACGGCATGCTCTCGATGTCGCCGATGGTGCCGCCGAGCTCGACGATACAAATGTCCGGCGGCGCGCCACTGCCGTCGACGGGCGCCCGGGCGACGCTCTCGACGCGGGCCATGATCTCGTCCGTGACGTGGGGGATGATCTGCACCGTCTTCCCCAGGTAGTCGCCGCACCGCTCGCGCTCGATGACCTTCTTGTAGATCTTGCCCGTCGTCAGGTTGCTGTCGCTGCCGAGGAGCACGTCGAGGAACCGCTCGTAGTTGCCCAAATCCAAATCCGTCTCGCCGCCGTCGTCGAGCACGAAGCACTCGCCGTGCTCGAGCGGCGACATCGTCCCCGCGTCGACGTTGAGGTAGGGGTCGATCTTCACGGCCGTCACGCGCGCGCCGAGCATCTTCATGCAGACGCCGATGCTCGACGCCGTCACGCCCTTGCCGATGCCGCTGATGACGCCGCCCGTGACGACGATGAACTTCGTCGGCGGCGGCGGGGCCGCCGCGGACGTCGTCGCGGCGCGGCGAGCGGCGCGGCGCGGCGGCTGCGCTCGCATCGGCGGTGCGCGCAGCGCATCGCTGGCGACGACGGCTGCGAGCAGCAGCAACGCGGGGCGCATGCTCGGTCTGCTCCCTCGATTGCCAGTGGCCATAACTCGCCTGTTCAACCAGAAGCGGAAACCTAGGCTTGAAGTTCAAGTTAGACGCGGGCCACCTCGTGCTGGCCGCTGCTGACCGACCGTCGTCGCCTGGGCTCGTCTGCGGACGGACGTCTTCCCAGGGCGCCCCAACGGCTCAGAACAGGAGCTCCATGGCCGCGCCGCGGAGCCCGGCCTTCTTCCGCGCGGCCGTTTCGGCGGCGACTTCGGCGCACGTCGTCGGCGTCGGCCCCTGGACGACGGCGCCGCGGACCGTCACGTTCGTCACGCGCACGACCGAGCCGTTGAGGCCGCCCGCGTCGCCCGCGGGGCAGCGGTCCTGGGCCGGCGCCCAGCCGAACCACTGGCTCGACTCGAGGACCGCGCCGATGCTGCGCATCGTGTCGGCGACGACGGCGTCGGACGCCGCGGACGGGCTCGGCGCGTAGGGCACGTTCGCGACGCCGTTCAGGGAGACGGCCACGGCGCCGTCCCGGGCGAACTCGGCGCGGACGCGGACCGCGCCGTCCGCCGGCAAGCTCGCGAGGACCTGGCAGCCCCAGCGGTCGCAGTCTTCGTTGCCCGGCCGTCCGTCCGTCGCGAACGTGTGGATCGTCGACGCCATCGCGCAGCCGCCGTTGTTCTCGATGACGTCGAGCTCCATGCACGACGGCGCGTCGCCCTGCTGGATGTCGCAGTACGTCGCCTTGCCCGTGTTGGGTACAGAGGGCGACGTCGTGTACAGATTCGTGTTGACGCCGGCCGCGACGCGCGACACGTCCATGGAGAACTCGACGGAGCCGCCGAGCAGGTTCCAGGCCGTCTTGCTCGACACGCGGCCGTCGCCGGCGATGGTCCAGCCGTTGTCTTGGAAGGTCACGGCGCCGCCCTCGAGGTTCATGTCGCTCGCCCGCGGGCAGTAGAGCTCGCCGGCGGGTTCGTCGTCGTCGTCGTCGTCGTCGTCGTCGTCGTCGTCGTCGTCGTCTTGCGCGGGGCACCAGGTGCCGTGGCAGTCGCCCTCGCACGCCGCGCTCCCGGAGTTGCAATAGGCGGTGGTGTCGCCGCACTCGCCGCAATTGTCCCAGGAACAGCAGCTCACGGCGACCTCGTCCTCGTGCTTCGTGAGCTCGAAGTCTTCGAGCGCGGCCAGCGCCGCGGCGACTGGCGCGATAAGGAGCGCGACGAGCAGCTTCTGCATCATGTTGTTGGCGCAAGGTGTGTGTTTGTTCGGACTGGAATACAATACGATGGCTGCCAAGCGCGCTTCGAGATCGTCCAATAGAAACACGCTTCAATGTAGAGTGCAACAACCCGGTTAACCTAGGCCTGCTCAGCTGAGGAGCCACATCTTGCCGGACGTGTAGGCGAGGACGCCCCAGGTGAAGTACTTGTAGAACTCGGGGCTCGTCCGCGCCTTGATGGGCTTCGCGGCCTGGATGCCGACGAGGCACACGAGGCCGATCTGCGCGCCGTGGACGACGATCTGGCCCGGGATGCCGCCCGCGACGACGCGCGCGGCGACCTTGGCCACGTTCTTGCCCGCCATGATGACGGACCGCGTCGCGACGAACTGGTTCATCGTCAGCCCGCAGTTCAGCAGGTAGATGTTGTAGATCGGGCCCGAGTTGTTCGTGATCACCGTCAACACGCCGCAGAGGATCGACACGCCGGCCGCGACCCAGATCTGGCCGTAGAAGGCCTCGTTCTCCGCCTTGACCGCCGCCGCCGTCGCCGCGAGGTCGTCGTCCTTCTTCGCCGCCGCGGCCGCCGCCGCGGCCTTGCGCCGCTCCGCGAGTTTCGCGGCCACGGACTGCGCCAGGACCAGCGCGTAGACGACGGACGTCAGCTTGCGCAGGTGCTGCTCTTCAATCAACGGCAGGAGGTAGGTGCCCAGGCCGATGCCGAGGCCCGTGAAGGGCCAGATCTTCTTGCACATGGCCCAGTCGGCGTGCTGCACGTAGACGGAGATGGTGCCCAAATTCGCGCAGCAGTTGACGACGGGCACGACGGCCGTGAAGGCCTTGAGGGACCCCACGGGGGCGATCAGCGAGAACATGGCGACGCCGAGCGTCGACGCGCCGACGACGCCGCCGACGCCGCAGCCGATGAGGAAGCCGCTCAGGTACTGGTAGCCGAGCTGCTCCGACAGCACCGCGGGCATGGCCGCGTCGGCGGCGCTCCAGGGCCAGACGCCGGCCGTGAGGGCGTCCATCTCGTTTAGAGATGTGTTGCGGCGCGCGTCGGCCGCTGCGCGCGTGCCGCTTGCGGTGGAACAGAATCGATCGCTGGAGTGGTGTGCAACGAGTGTGCAAGGAGTACTTCAACGCGCGCGGGAGAGGGGAGCCAGGGGATCTTGAAGATCCCCTCAAGGGGAGCGCGGCGCGAGCGCGACGCGCCTAGAGGGTCGCGAAGGCGGGCCCGCCCGCGGCGCCGCACTGCGCGGCGACGCACGCGTCGCAGTCGCCGATGTAGTCCTGGCAGCAGGCCGCGCAGACGTTGCAGCCGGCCTTCTTGCAGACGTGGCCCGTCGGCGGCGCGAAGGTCGAGTTGATCGCGCCGACCTTGATGGCGGAGAAGGTCACGTAGGCGTCGGCCTGGTTCGCCTCGACGTCCGCGGGCTTGCCCGTGTCCGTCGCGCACGAGCCGCGCGCGGCGCCCGGGCCCGTGGCGTTCGCCGGGTAGGTGCTGTCGAGCCAGAGCATGTCGACGTCGTGGTCGTCCCAGAGCGACATGACGAGGACCATGCCCGCGTCCATCTGGTCGCCGACGGCCGCGAGGCCGCCGCGGGCCTCGAACGTGTTCTCGTCGCCGAAGGCCTTCTTCTGCGCGGCGCAGAAGCCGTCGCTCAGACGGTCGAACGTGTCGCCGCCGACACTCACCGTGGGATCCGGGACGACCGCGCCGTCCTGCAGGAAGAAGCGGCGGATCTCCGAGAGGTCCCCCTCGTCCGTGCCGTCCGTCGTCAGGAACTGCGTCACGACGGTGAACTGCTTCGACGTGTCGACGGCGAAGCCGGAGCCCTCGCCGAAGAACTGCGTCGCGCCCAGGCGATAGGGCGCGAAGTCGCAGCCGTCCTTGTCGCAGACGCCCTTGGACCGCGCGTCGCCGTGGCCGTCGCCGCACTCCTCGCCGTCGCAGCGGTACTGGCCCTGGACGGAGCACGCGTGGGGCGTGACCGCGTTCGACACGCGGTTCCCCTCCCAGACGTCCATCTCGATGCAGCAAGTCCCGTACTTTCCCGTCCCCGAGTTCGACGACGTGCCGTCCCAATCGAAGAGTGTTCGCCTCGCCGTCGATGAACTTGATGTCGTGCGGGCACTGCGCGTCGCAGTAGCCCGTGCCGTATTTCGCGCCCGCGGTGTTGGCGCCCTTGCCCGCGTCGCCGTCCTCGGACATGCCGACGAAGTACAAGGCGCCGTTGAGGCCGCAGCCGAGCGTGCTGTCGTCGATGGTCACGGAGAACTCGCGGTTCTTGAGCTTGAAGAGGTGGTACTTGTCCTCGCCGTCGAGCAGGTAGACGCGGGAGCCGACGTTGTCGCCGTAGGAGCCGTGCGTGACGAAGTCGAGCTGGAGCTCGTCGCCGGCCGCGTGGATGCCGTAGGTGCCCTCGTAGTCCGCGCCCTCGAGCGCGCAATGGGACGCGCAGGTCGTCGGGTCCGGGCACCTGCGAACGGGCGCGCGTGAACGTTCGAGAAGGCGTCGTTCGTCGTCGGCGCCGGGCCGCGCAGGCTCGTCGACCAGGCGTTGCCCGTGTAGCAGTTCGTGCCGCCGACGTCGGTCCAGCGCCAGTTCGCGTCGAGGACGATGCTCTTGTCGAGGGTGGTGCAGGTCTTGTCGGCGGTGCACTCGCTGATGCGCAGCGACGGGTGGTGCTCCGGCGTCTGCGTGCCGGGCACCTGGGCGAGGGCGGCCGGGAGCAGGAGCAGCGCGGCGACGGTGTGGTGCGGCATGGCGTTCTCGTGGATGGTGTTGTTGTGCTTGTGGTTGGGCTGCGTCGGGAAGACAGCAATGTATTCGGTCCGTGAACCACACAAACCGACCAATCGCGACGCGGGCGAAATCGCGGGCGGAAGCGTGCCACAAGCCTAGAGGCTTAAATCCGCGCACAAAAACCACCAAGCGTGGTCGGGGCCGCCTCCCCGTGTCGGTGAGAGGCGGCCCGTCATGGGAGCTCGGCGGCGTGCTGCGAGGAAGACGAGGCGCGCCTAGGCGCGTCAGGCGCCGCAGGCCGCGTCCTCGGCGCCCGCGGGGATCGCGGGCGCGGCCGTCGTGAGCGCGTCGGCGACGGCCGGGCCGATGGCTTCGGCGCGCGCCAGGAGCTGGGCGTCGGTCTGGTCCGAGATGGGGTGGGCCACGAAGACCGCGGGCGCGGCCGGCAGCCCGAGCTGCGCGGCTTGCGCGCGCGCGTTGGACGGGAACGCGTCCGACAGCACGGCGACGGACGCCAGACCCCGGGCCTCGAGCGCGACGACGTCGTGGATCTCGCACGTCGCGCAGGAGCCTCAGTCCGCGAGGCCGACGACGACGTGCGCGCACGCGGCCGCGACGTCGTCGAGGAGGCCGGCCGGGCAGTTCCGCGAGAACGTCGGCTTCGCGTAGCGGCGGATTTCGACGCCCTCGAAGGCCGTTCGCAGGAACGCCTCGATGCCGTCCAAAAAGACCTTCCCGCCGCCCTTGGAGATGTCGAGGAGGCCGACGGCGCCTTCGAGTCTGCCGGAACGAGGCGCCAACGCGAGCGGCGGCGGTGTCGCGCCGCGCGGGTCGAGGACCGCGCCGTCCGGCAGGTTTCCCGTCCCGGGCTCGAGCGCGGCCACGGGCCGCGACACGGGCACGGACATGCGGTGGGCCGCCATGCCCGGCTTGCCGGCGCCGAAGCCGGCGCAAATCATGCTAAATTTTCCCGCGTCGCCGCCGCAGACGGCGACGTGGATCGATTCCGGGCTCTCGAACTTGGGCACGGGCGCAGACCCAAAGGCGCCAGCGAGGCTCACGAGCGTCGGGGTGACGGCGCCTGCCAACGCTGCGACCGTAGGACTCGCGCCCTTGGCCTTTGCGAGGGTCGCCGCTGCGCGGCCGGAGTGAGGTACGATCGCGGCGTTCGAGTAGTCGAAGAGCGCCTTTTTGAAGGCTTGTCTCGTTGCGTACTCCGTTTGCAAGGTCTTGTAGTGCTCCGGGGACACGAGGACGAGCGCCGAGGAGCAAAAGGGGAAGCGCGCGCCCCAGCACGCGTGCGCGAGCGTCAGCGCGATATTCTTCGCCACCTCCTTGGGATCCGTCGTGTCGAAGTCGACGACCTGCGCCATGCCCGTCACGGGGAACAGGGTGCACGTCGGCGCGCCGCGGCCGCCGTAGGGGCCCCAGCCGCCCGCGACGACGTCGTCCCGCTCGCCGACGCACGCGGAATATTTGGCGGGCGTGCCGATCGTCGTGCTCTCCGTGCCTCCGACGGACGCGCCGCCGACGTGGTGGAGCACGAGCTTGAGCGCGCGGCCGACGCAGGCGTTGGCGCGCGTCCCGCTGCCGAGGCAGGCGCGGCCGCAGTTGACGCCCGCGGCGCGCGCGGCGCCGCCGGACGCGAGTATGAGCGGCGCGCAGCCCATCGTCGTCGCGCCCGTGCCGTGCGCGTTGAACGCGTCGTCGAGCAGGGCGCGGACCGCGGCGACGACGAGCGGGAACTGTCGCGGCTCGCAGCCGGCGAGCACGGCGCAGGCCGCGACGCGCCACAGATGGCAGGCGCTGTTCGACGGCGGGCAGGCGCCGAGGGACGCCTCGGGGTCGGCGTCGCCGAGCATGGCCCGCACGGATGCGCGCTTCGGCTCGACGACGGGCAGGCCGTCGGCGGCGAGGCCGCAGGCGAAGCCGCCGTCGGAGAAGCCCTCCATTGCGCGAGCTGTGCGGCGCGCGCGAGTGCGGCCGCGCCCCAGAGATTCCACAAGGTCAATAAGAACAAATTTCCCTCATATTGCAGTTATTACCATCGAGTTCGAGCGCTGCTGGTCGTGTCCGGCGGGCAGCCCCGGCCGCGCGCGCATCCTAAGAAGGAGCTTGTGCCGGTTCGTGAACAAACAGGGAGCAGCCATGCGCGACGGGCGGCACAAGCACGAGGGCATGGAGCCGGATGCGGCGCGCGAGTACCTCGACCCCTGGGCCCACTACTTCGAGGAGCACCACCCGCAGAAGATCCACCACACGGGCCTCACGGAGGCGAAGGTCGAGGAGATCATGCACTACATCATCGGCAGCCTGCGCGGCGCCGGCGCGGAGGCGACGCGCGCGCGACGCGCGGCTCGCCGGCGCTTCGACCGGTCGACCGCGCGCGTCGCGTCGACGCCCCGGCTCGTCGACCGCCGCGACCATCGCGCGCAGGTTCGTGTTGTGCTTCATCGTCGTCTTCCAGGGCGTCTGGCACGCGCACCAGAACAACTGGTGGCGCAGCGACGACGACGACGACGACAAGGAGAAAGGACGGCGGCGGCTGGCGCGGCCGGGGGTCCGCGGACGCGGACCGCGCCGCGACCGCCGACGCGACGGACCCGACGTGGAGGCCCAAATCCGCGCGGTCGAGGGCCGACGCCGCGCGGCGGCCGTCGCCGTCGCCGTAGAGGGCCGCCGCCTCCGCGCGGAGCGCGGCCGCGCGGCCCCGGGCCTCGTCGCGCCGCTCGCGCGCGGCGCGCGCGCGCGCGTCGCGCTTCTCCGCGTTGCGCCGCGCGACCTCGCGCCGCGGGTCGGGCCGCTCCTCGGCGGCGGGCACCGCCTCGACGGCGCCCTGCTCGACGAGCTGGGGCGCCGCGGACGCGGACCGCGCCAGCCGCCGCTCCGCGGCCGCGACGGCGCGGTCCTCGCGGGCCCGGCGCCGGAGGTCCGCGGTCTGCGCGATGGACTCCTCGCGCGCCTCGCGCGCGCGGTCCCGCTGGAGCGCCCGGTCCTCGGCGTCGCGCTCGAGGCGCAGCCGCTCCGCCGCCGCGGCCTCCTGCGCCGCGCGGAGCGTCGACGCCTCGCGGCCGCGCGCGACGGCGACGCGCCGCGCCGTCTGGTCGAGCCGCGGCGCGGGCGCCGCGTCGCGCGGCGACCGCACGGACGCCTGGTCCCGCAGGAAGCCCCGGCGGCCGCCGTCCTCGACGAGGAACCCGAGGCTCGACGCGCCGACCGTCGGCGCCTCCGCGGCCGGCGCCGGGTTGGGCCGCCGCCGCGGCGGGAAGAGCCGCGGCGGCCGCGCCGCGGCGGGCTCCGGACCGGCGGAGTGGAGCGACAGCAGGGACGCGCCGCCGTCGAGGCCGCCTAAACCCGTGCCGTTGAGGCCGTTGACGGAGAGCAGGTCGCCGAGGGGTTGCGGAGGACCGGCGGCCGCTGGGTGGTCGCGAGCGACGCCTGCGACAGCGAATAGCCGAAGGCGCTCCGGCGCGTCGCGTCGTCGGCGACGGTCGACGCGTCGTCGTCGGTCCGCCGCGCCGGCTTCGGCCGCCGGTGGAGGCCGGGGAAGGTCGGCGCGGCGCACGCGGGGCACGCGAAGCTCCGCCGGTCGTCGATTGCCGAGACGGCGCAGGACCGGTGCACGTGGTGGCCGCAGGGGTACTGGGCTAAATCGCCGCCGTCGGCCTCGCCGAGGCAGGGCGCGGCGCACTCCGGGCAGATGGCCTGGAGCGTCGTCTCGTAGTCCGGCAGCGGCAGCCGCCCGGGCTTCGGGAGGCCGCCGCCGAGGTACGCGCCGAGCGACGCGAACTCCTCCGGCAGGGCCGACTCGGGCGCCTCGTCGAGCTCGAGGAGGCGCGCGTAGTCGTCGGGCCCGAGGTCGCGGTACTGCAGCGCCATGAGCGCCTCCGGCGGGAGGCCCGCGGCGCCCAGGCCCGCGACGGGCCGCCACGCCGGCGGCCGGCCGTTCCGCCGCCGCCGCCGCCGCCGCGCGCGCGGCGCGGGCTGCCACGCGTCGCCGACGAGGGGCTTCCGGACGAAGTCGTGGTGCGCGTGCTGGCCGTGGCCGAAGCACGTCGCGCACAGGTCCCAGCCCGCGCACGTGACGCAGCGGTAGCGGTCGCCGACGATCGGCCGCGCCGCGCAGTGGCCGCACTTGACGCCGAAGTGGGAGTCGCTCCCGGCCCTGCCCGGCTTCGGCGCGACGGCCTCGCGCGCCAGGCGCTGCTTCATGGCGTCGATGAGGTCCGCGCCGCCCCAGACCTCGCGGCAGAGCGGGCACTTGATGTCGCGCGGCGCCTGGTGCTCGCCTGGGCGGGAAACGAGTGTTTCAAGTTCGCTTCAACGTGAGTGTTCTACGCGCGCGCGTTCCGGAAAAACCATCCACGCGTCGAGACCGTTCCGAGAGATGATCGCTCGTCCAAAAATCAGCCAAAACGAGTGGAAAACGACCGAGGTGGGACCCTTTGAAGTTGGACATTTCGCGCCCCGGTGCTCGCCGTACTCGATCATGCAGCGCACGTGGACCCAGTTGCCGCAGGTCTTGACGCAGTAGGTCAGGGGCGCCCCGTCCTCGGAGACGTCCAGGGGGTCGAGGCAGACGGGGCACATCTCCTCCTCCGTCGGTAAGGCGGGCGCGTTCGCCGTCTTCGGGCCCGGCGCCAAGGCGTCGATGATCGCGAGCTCGCCCTCGGTGACGTCGCTTTCCGTGACGAAGCTCCGCGGCCCGGCGCCGCCGCCCTGGCGCCGCCGCAGGTACTCGTGCTTGCGCGCGATGGTCTGCGCGCGGCGCTCGAAGCGCGCGCGGAAGTCGAGCACCGAGTCGAGCTCCGAGTCCGTCAAGGCGGGCTGCCAGGCCAGCGGGTTCCCCGCGGGCACGCGCAGCACCTTGAGGAGCACGAAGTGCACGTGGTGGCAGAGCTCGCCGGCCTTCTCGTCGACGCCGCCGCAGCTGCAGCCGTGCTTCGCGCCGATTTTGACGCGGTGCTTCGCGGGCCGGTGCCGCGCGCGCGAGAGCGGCGACTCCTCGAGGCGCGGCGACGCGGGCACGTCGCCGCGGGGCGACGCGGGCGCCGGCGCCGGCGCGTCCTCCGCCGCCGCCTCGTCCGCCGGCGCCGCCTCCTTGACGACGAAGGACGTCGGACCGGAGGTCGCCACGAGGAACATGCGCCGCCGCCGCGCGCCCTCGCTGCCGAGCACCTCGTCGACGACCTGCTGCGTCCGCTCCGACTTCTTCGACACGTAGGGCAGCGACCGGAGGTCGATGGCGCGCGGGGCCATGGTCGTTTAAAGGGCTAGCTGAGCACCATGCCGCCGCTGAAACCAAATTAAGAGGTTGAAAGTGAAGTCGAAAGCTGCAATGTTGACGCATTCATTGCCACAGCGTGCGTCGCATTTCGATCGAGTTTCCGACGCGATAGCTGCCAAGCCGTGCGCCGCCGGCGCCGGAAAACATCGCGCGCGCGTGCGAGAGACGGTGCGCGAGCGGTGCCGCTCGGCCCGACGCCGCGCGCGCGGTCGGCGGCGACGGCGCCGGCGCGAAAAACGCGGCGACCGCCGTCGCTCGCGCGCCGCGCCGCCGGCGCGCGGGCGCCCGCGGCGCCCGCCCGCCGTCGGCGCGCGCCGAGCACATCCCCGCGCGCCGCGCCGCTCGACGACGAACGCCGCCGCGACCCCCGAGAGCGCGCCGCGCGCGCGCGTCGCCGAGCGCCGCGAACCCCGCAGGCCGTCGACGCCATGTCCGAGGTCTTCGCCGTCTGGGAGGACGCGCTCTACGACAAGCGCAAGCCCGAGATCATCCAGGAGGTGGACACGAAGTACTGCTGCCTCGTGGAGTGGGTCGAGCAGCCGCTGCCGGACACGGAGGCGGAGATCCGGAAGACGATCCGCCGCGCGGGCCCGACGCTGCCCCAGGAGATCATCGACGGCATCCCCAAGGAGGACCCCAAGGAGACGGGCAAGCTCGACATTTTGGCCTTCGTCGACGAGAGCGGCCTCGTCGGCGAGATGATGGACGTGCTCGCGCGCAAGAAGCACGTCGGCAGCAAGAAATTGGTGCCCGTCTGGGGCAACGACGACCTGCTGGACGCGGCGAAGATCGAGGAGCTCCTCGCCGACGAGTGGGACATGCTCATCTTCGGCGCGGGCGTCGACCTGCCGGAGAGCAACGACCCCGACGACATCGTCGCGTGGTCCGACCGTTTGATCAAGATCTTCCTCATCATCTGCCAGCTCATCCAGCGCAAGCCGGCCTACGCGAAGAAGATCTTCGTCCTGACCTGCGACACGCACGGCAACGAGCCCAAGACCTGGGCCGAGGCGGGCCCGGGCCTCACGGCCGCGAGCCACCTCTTCGGCATGTGCAACACGTGCCGCATCGAGTGCGCGGCGACGCCCATCCACTACGTCGACGCCGAGTTCACGGTCACGGACGAGATCGTCGAGGAGCTGGCCAACGAGGTCACGCGCCAGGCGGGCTTCGGCGAGAACTCCGTGCGCATCAACTGGCGCGGCCGCTTCGTCGCGCGCATGGTCCTCGCGGAGCCGCGCTACACGTCCAACTACAAGTTCCAGACGCCCAAGTCGGGCACCATCGGCATCGGCGGCGGCAACGGCGCCCTGGGCCTCGTCATGTGCAAGTATTTGCTCGAGCGCCTCGGCGACGACCGCGCGACGGTGACGCTCGACATCAAGATGCTCAGCCGGTCCTGCAAGATCTCGGGCGCGGGCAACGAGAAGCTGTGGAACGACATCAAGAAGCTCATCGCGGGCACGTCCATCACCGTCGTCCAGGAGTCGTGCGACGTGTCGAAGCGCGAGGCGATCGAGAAGTTCGTCGAGGACAACGCCGCGAGCCTCTCCGGCTTCATCCACTCGGCGGGCATCCTGCGGGACGCGCTCCTCATGAACCAGGACGCGGAGAAGTACGACGACGTCTTCAAGCCCAAGGCCTGGGCGGGCCTCTACCTGAACCACGCGCTCGAGAAGTTCCCGTGCCCGAAGCTCGAGTTCATGTGGATGTTCTCCTCCGTGGCGACCTACGGCAACCCGGGCCAGTCGCCCTACAGCGCGGCGAACTCGCTCCTGGACTCGCTGGCCCGCTACCGCAAGTCGCAGGGCCTGCCGTGCACCGTGATGCAGTGGGCGGGCTGGGGCGAGGTCGGCATGGCCTCGAACATGGAGGGGTTGGCGAAGAAGCGCATGGACGAGTCGCCCATGCCCTTCTTCACCAACGCCCAGGGGCTGTCGGGCATGGACACGGGCATCTCCACGGGCGTGCCCAACTTCTGCGTCATGCGATACAACACCAAGGCCTTCTTCGAGCAGAACAACAAGGAGGCCAAATCCGCCGCGGAGCGCTACGGCCGCAAATTCTGGGGCTGCCAGGCGCCCTCGAAGGAGCTCACGGAGCTGGACCTCTACGACAACGTCAAGGCCAACTTCTACGAGCCCTACGAGATGACCTACAAGCACTTCGTCTCCGGCGAGGAGTACACGCAGATGAAGGTCGACTGAGCCCGCCGCCGCCGGCGCGCGCCTCCCACCTCCCCTCCCGCGGGGTAACGCAGCGGTCGCGTCGACCTATATACAGGGCGCGGCGCGCTAGAAGTCGTCCCGGGCGACGTGCTCCGCGCACTCCGCGGCGACGGCGTCGGCGCCGCGCTCCTCGAAGCTGTCCCAGCCGGCGTCGTCGAGGTAGTCGCGCACGGCGACGGCGACGCGCGTGAGCGTCGTCGCCACGGCGCGCGCCGCGAGCGAGCCGTCGCACTTGTCCGGGTGGACGTCGCGGATGAGCTCGAGCGCGACGCGCCGCCGCTGGCCCGGGGGCGTCTCGGCGAGGTCGCGGCACATGAGGGCCGCGGCCTCGGACGCCGTGCCCGCGGCGCCGTAGCCGTCGAGCTTCTCCCGCTTCTCCGCCTCCGTCTCGCCGCGCCAACGCGCGAGCCAGCCCTTGTCCTTCTTCGCCGGCGGGTGTTGCCCCTCGATCAGCAGCGGCGCCTCGCCGCCGCCCTTGAGCGCCGTCTCGAGCGTCTCCCGCGTCTTCTTGACGCCGTCGAGGAACTTCTCCCTCGCGCCGTTCCGGCGGAACGCGTCCCCGAGCTTCTCCGCGGACGACGCCGCCGCCTGGCCGCTCGCGCGCGCGGCCTCGCCCACGTCGTCGGACCGCGTCGTGAGGCCCACGGCCGCCGCGCAGCCGCAGGCCGCCAGGGTGACGCCGCCGACGATGGGCAGGAACAGGCCCGTGACGGCGCCGATGCCGCCGGCGCCCAGGGCGACCTTGAGCTTGTTCCGCTGGTCCGCCGCCTCCTTCGTCTTCAACGCCTGCTTCTGGCGCGGCGTCAGCGTCGGCTGGGACATGGGACGATCGCGGGGCCGTTTCCCGGCGCGTAGCACGCGGGGGCGCCCGATCTTCGTGCGACGTGATTCTTCGTGCGAAGCTATTCGAACGGCACCCTGTGGCAAGCCTGCAAGGTCGACCTTTGGCGCGCGCCGCGATGGAGCACTCATAAGTCGCTCGCCCGCTCTAAACCCATGGACGCCCTCGCCGCGGAGATCGCGAAAAAGAAGGCCCAGCTCGGCGGCGCCGGCGGCGCGAAGCGGCGCTGGGTCAAGACGGCGGACCTCGACCAGCAGCGGCGCCAGGCCGTCGAGGACGCCGCGGCGGGCAAGCGCGCGCGGAGCGACGCGCCGCCCCCGGCCGCGGCGCCCCGCGCGCGGGCGGGCAGCGTCGGCGAGGCGGACACGGCCGCGGCGAAGGTCGCCGGCCGCCTCGCGGTCCTCAAGGACCTGTCGCGCGACGACATCTTCGCGCGGCTCCGCGCCTTGGGCGAGCCCGTGACGACCTTCGGCGAGGCCGACGGCGACCGCACGCGGCGCCTGGCGGCCCTCGAGGCGAGCGCGACGGGCGCCGACGAGGACGACTACCGCCTCGGCGGCGCCTACGCGATCCGCAACACGTTCCTGAAGACGAACGCGGCGGGCACGCCGCGGGCGCGGCCCGAGGACGACGACGCGAGCGACGACTCCGGCGACGAGGACGAGTCGCCGGAGAAGGCGCCCGCGGCGGCGCGCGGCGCGGAGGCGAAGCCGCCGAGCGACTTCAAGAAGATCCGGCGCTGGATCCGGCGGCACCTGAAGTCGTGGGAAGCGACGCTCGTCGCGCGCGCGGACGCGGCGAAGCGCGCGCCCCAGGGCCGCGTGGAGACCAAGACCTACAAGCAGTGCAAGGACTACATCCGGCCGCTGGTGAAGCTCTGCAAGAAGCGCGAGCTCAACGCGGGCCTCAAGGCGGCGCTCGTCGAGATGATCGACTTCTGCGAGGCGGGCGAGTTCGTCAAGGCCAACGACGCCTACATCCTCGTCGCCATCGGCAACAGCGCCTGGCCCATCGGCGTCACGTCCGTCGGCATCCACACGCGCACGGCCCGCGAGAACGTCGAGCAGAAGAACGTCGCCCACGTCATGAACAACGAGATGCAGCGCAAGTACCTCACGTCCATGAAGCGCCTCATGAAGTTCGCCCAGGACCAGCGGCCCGACGTCGCGCCCTCGAAGAAGGTGACGTAAGAGTCTAGAGGGATGGGCTACCTCAGCCTACCTGACGCGGCGGGCGGCGGGGGGCGTTGTCTCGAGTCGTCGTCGTCGCCGTTGTGTCGCCCCTCGTTTTAAGAATAAGTCAGATAACAGTGCAATCAGAAGGACTATCATACGCCCAGGTGGTCGCGCAGGCGCTTCAGCAGCACGGGCTTCGTTCCCGAAACCTTCAGTTTCTGCGCCTTGCACGCCGCCTTGAGCTGCTTCACCGTCCACCCGTCGCAGGTCCCGTTGGCGAAGCCTGTGCGCAGCGCTGCCGCCGTGTATTCACGTAAGACTCGAGACATGACCTGTTTCGTGCGCACGATGAACGCGCGCACGACGGGCCGGTACTTCACGCCGATTCTTCGTTTGATCGCCGACGCGAAGAGCGAGAAGGCCATGTATTCGGCTTTCGTCGGCGCATCTGAGAAGGAAATCGGTGGCGCGGGTTCGATCACGTAGTCCGCGGGCCGCGGCTCGTCGAGCCCCTCCGGCCCGAGGATGTGGTCCTCGATGTCGCCGTTGAGCGAGAACGCGACGCGACTCAGATCGCGGGAGTTATTGAACATGGCGCCGGGTCCGCCGAGGCCGTTCAACGCATCGACCGCATCACGGGCCGCCGCTTCTACCACCTCTTGGAACAATTCTTCGACGTCCCACTCCACACGTAATGTTGCGACATTGGCAGCGACCATGAAGGGTTCTGACCCCAAGGACAAAGCTCTGTCGACGCAGCGGTCGACGAGGGTGGAAGTGTAGCTTTCTAGCTCATCACGATCATCCCAGAGGGTGCCCCACGCGATCTCCTTCATCACGACGGCACCACGTGAGCAAGCCCCCCTTGGTCTTGTGGCGAGTCGCTGTTTTCAGACCGGCAAGAGATCCGCCGGGCCCAAGACGCGCCGTCATCCGCGCGCCCCCGCTCGTCGGGGTGCTCCTAGGCTCCTCAGTACCGACGATTCTCGTGTGATGGGCAAGAAGTCGAAACGCCGCGGCGGAGTCGAGAGGGAGAAGACGGCGAAGGATAAGGTAAAGGAAGGCGGCCCGCATGGCCCCGGGACCAGCGGCCGCGGCTATCCGGCTCACCTCCCAAGTCGCATGTGTTTCGCTAAAAATGAAAAAGGTGAAGTTTATGAGTGGTCAGCGCTTCTCCATCACGGGTGCGGGTTTCGCGCGCTGCAGGACGGCGAGGCGGTGGACGCCGACGGTTGGCTCCACCTCAAACCAAAGTATGTCCCACCCGAGGAGGAGCTCACGGCCGAACAGTACCGCCGCATAGGGTGCGCCGTCGGTTCTTCGGCGGAAGCCCTGACGTCGAGCTCCCATCCCGCGTTCCCGGGGTTCTCGGCGATTCGGCTTTGAGCGACCGCCCGGGCTCGAAACGCGAGGCTCGCTCTGGCGCCGGGCTTGTTTCGACGCGACGTCAGACTGGCGCCACTCGTAGTCGCCTCCCGTGTAATCACCCGCGCGCCCTAGACGACGCTGTAGGCGCTCGGCCCCGCGGTGCTGAGCTCGACGCCCATCGCGGCGATCGCGGACCCCGCGGCGGCCTGCGCCTTGTACTTGAGGCCGGCGATGGCGAGGAGGACGACGATGAGCAACGCGAGGAGCACGATGACGACGACGACGAGGACGTGGACCTCGTGGAGCATGGCGAAGATGGCGTCCTCGTCCGCGTCGTGGTGCCGGTCCCACTCGTCGTCCTCCTCGTCCTCCCACTCGTCCTCCCAGTCGTCGCGCGACAGGCAGCTCTCTCTCCATTCGCCCTGGGGGCAGCAGAACGTGGTGTCGCGGCAGCAGCAGCGCGCCCACTGCTCGTCGTGCTCCATCGCCGCGTAGCCGCACGTGCCCGACGCCTGTGTGCAAATCAAATCTTCAATACGAATTCAATGTGCTTCGAGAACTCGACGTGAACGATCGATTCGTCCAAAAATCAGCCAAAACGGCGTCGATTTGACCGAGCTAGAGAATTTCAAAGTTTGGTCGGGACGTCCCAAACCAGTGGTTGATTTGCACACAGCCCGACGCGTAGCCCCCGAGGCGCGTCTCCTGCCAGTCCGGCGCGTAGGCGAGGCGGTCGCCGGAGAAGAACTGGTTCCCGTTGCGGAAGCCGTTGTACTGGCAGTACAGGCGCCCGAGGTCCTCCGGCGCGTCCTCGTCCTCGTCCTCGTCCTCGCCCTCGTCGCCCTCCTTGCACCGCTCGTAGTCGGCGCGGTTGTCGTCGAGCAGCGCCTTCGTGTCGCCGTAGGCCTCGGACGGCGACCCGCCCGCGCGGCAGAGGCACTTGGCCCAGCCCCGCACGTTGCAGGACGCGTCGACCTACCGCGCGACGGCGTTTCCCCGGCCGCGAGCTCTCGAACGTCGTCGCGGGACGCCGGCGCCGACCCAGTCGTGGAAGAGGCCCGGCGAGAAGACGACGCAGTCCTCGTCCGTGCACCACTCGTTGGGATCGCCGGGGTTCCACTTTTGGTACGTCGGCGCGTGGCCGTCGACCCACTGCCAGTCGCCGGACTCGTCCTCGCCGGCCTCGAACATGCCGATGTAGACCGCCGTCTTCTCGCCCGAAAAAGTCGCGCACGAAGTCGTTCTCGGCCTCGTCGCGGATGGACGCCAGCGTGCCGCCCTTCTCCTCGCAGTAGTCCTCGCACTGCACGTACGTCGCCGTCATGGGACTCACGTGGAAACAGGCGTCGGCCGTCGACGTCGGGCTCACGAAGCCGTCGGGGCACGACGACGCCGCGACGCCGACCACGGCGAAGAGGAAGACAGCTCGACCAACCATCGTTCTCCGTAATAATGCTTCAACTTTGGCGTTGTTTCCCTCAAGGCTGCCCCTGGGCATGGCATCGTCGTCGATGGCGGGCAGCGTGGCCGGCCAGGCGTCGTCGGTCGTCGTCGCCTTCTTCCTGCCGTGCATGCTCGTGCTCGTGCAGCGGCGCGCGGAGACCATGGTCGTCGCGCTGTGCTTCGCCTTCGGGTGGCTCATGGGCATCGGCCTCGCCGGCATCGCCTTCGTCTCGGGCCTCACGTCGGACCGGCTCATCCTCAGCGGCGTCCTCGCGGCGGCGGGCAGCGAGCTCGGTCGCTTCGCGGTGTACCGAGGGTACCGCTACGTCGAGCGCCTGGACCTGGCGGCGGAGGTGCGCCTCGACGACGCGTCGTCGTCGCTCGCCGCGGGCTTCGGCACCGCGGCGCTCCACGCGGTCTTCCTCTTCGCCGCGGCGCCGGCGCCGAGTGTGGCCCACGCCGCCGCCGTGCTCATGTTCGTGGTCCTCGACGTGGCGCTCGCGGGGCTGCTCTTCTGCGAGGCCCGGCCGGAGCCGCCGAACCACCCGGACCGCGGCGGGCCCCTCATCCTCCTCGAGCGCTTCTTCTTCGACTCGCGCCACGCGCCGGCCCTCAAGCTCCTCGCGGCCGTGGGCCTCCACGCCGCGGCGACGGTGGCGTCGAGCCTCGACGCGCGCGCCGCGCTCCCGGGCGTCGCCCTCTGCCCCGTGGCCGCGTCGCTCCTCGCGTTCCGCGGCCGCACGCGCGTCTACCCCCTCGTGTCGGCCCGCGGCGGCTTCGCGTCGCGCGTCCTGCGCAGCGGCGACGGCCACACGTAAGGACGCGGGCACGACGCGCCTCCAGCCGCCCGCGCCCGTCGGTGGAGCGCCGCGGGACGGGCGCGCGCGCGCACCGCAGCCGGCGGGACCATGTGTGAGACCCGCTCCCTCGTTACCCGTCCTCGAGCTCGGCCGCCCACTCCGTCCCCGCGAGCGCCGCCCGGACCTCGTCGAGGTTCTCGATGCTGTCCGCCGCGCGCCCGCCGGACTTGACGTACGCGGTCCGCGGCGGCTTCGGGGGCGGCCCGACGCCGAGGAAGTCGTAGAGCTCGCCCAGCCACCTCGGCGTGTCGGCAACGAGCTCGTCGTAGGTCACGCGGAACGCGCGCGGCGGCGGCGCGGCGGCGGCCGCCCAGGCCTCGACGGCGTCCCACTCGCGCTTCTGCGACGCGAGCGTGCCCGCGAGCGTCTCCGCGTCGAGCCGCACCCGCAGCTTCGCCACGGCGGCCGCGCAGCGCGTCGACGTGCAGTGCACGTTGCGCGACGCCTCTGCCCCTAGAAGCGTGGCGTTGGGCGTGAGGCGGTTCTTCGCGCCGGAGACGACGCGCGCGACGCCGACGCGCCGCAGCAGCACGAGCTTGACGCCGCGCCGCGCCACCCACGCGGCGAACTCCGCGCGGTGCGCCGCCGTCGCGTAGCCCTTGGCGAGCCAGAGCCCCTGCTTCCACCCGAACGCGGCGCACCTGCCGTTGTCGCGCGCGGCGATCGCGACGCGTGCGTTCGCGCTCGCCTCGAAGGCCGCGGTCACGTTGCGCCCGGGCCGCGCCGCCTCGCGCGCGCGGACCTTGGACACGAGGACCGTCGGATCGTGGCCGGCGGGCACGTCGACGCGACCGGCGGGCATGCAGATCGCAGGGTGCGCGTTGAGGAGCGACATGAGCCAGTCCGACCCGCTCCGCGCCGCCTGGAGCACCAAGAAAAGCTGGCGGTACCGCATGAGTTATGCCTTGACGCGTCTCTAAACGTAGGGGGCCCGGGGAGGAACCATGAGTTATGCCAGGCGCATCCGAGAGCTGCCCGCTATCCAGGCGCCAAGGTGGTGATCGTTGAAACCAAGGTGAAGGTGAAGATATGATGATGTTGAAGCCAGTTCTCGCGCCTCGCGTCGCCATGCGCGAGCAGACAACAGATTTCGCTCTACTATGTGCACGGGGAAATGGGGAACAAACAATCGGGGCGTCAGGCGTCGTCGAGGAAGGCCGCGTCGTCGACTCCGCCGCCGGTTTCGAAGAAGGCGACGGAGCCGAGGTAGTCGAGGCGCTCGGCGGAGAGCTTCCCCTTGGCCGCCGCGGCCTTGGTCGCCGCGACCCAGACGGCGAGGTCCTCCGGCGGCGCCGCGCCGGCCGCCGCCGCGGCCCTCCAGTCGCGGTATTTCCGGAAGCCCTTCATGAACGCGGAGCCGCAGGCCCGGCTCGAGATCCACTCGAAGCCCGCCTCGTCGAGGTCGCGGCGCCGGTCCGCGGGGAGGACGTCGCGGCCCCGGCGGCGCACGGCCGCGACCCAGCCGCCGAGCACGGGATTCTCGCGCCATTTTTTGGGCACCTGCGCGTCGCCGTGCGCGGCCACGTAGGCGACGAGCGCCTCGACGTTCTCCTGCCACCGGGCCTCGAGCTCCTCCGGCGTGAGCTGGCTCGGGTTCGTCCAGGCGAACTTGAGCAGGTCGAGCTTGTCCGCGCGGTCCGCCGCCAGTTTGCCGCTCTTCTTCAGGCGGCGCTGCGCCTCGCACCAGCGGCCGAGCTCGTCGCCGAGGGGCGCGTCGGCCGTGCCCCAGGTGCTCCGGTAGCTCGACAGCTCGCCGTACATGACGTCCCAGTCCTGCATCGAGCTCTTCCGCCGCGTCTTCGGCTTGGTCTCGGCGTCCTTCATGGCGCTCCTCGGCGCGAAGCCGAGGACCTTGAGCGGCGCGACCGTGGGCTTCGCGACGAAGGCGGATGCGACAGCGACGACGGCGAGTGTTCGCATGGCGCCGCGTGGACGCGACATGGCCGCTGGCGCCAGCGCTGGCTGTGGAAGCCCAGGCGAAGGCCACGAAGCAGATGGTGCGCGGCATGTTGACGGCAAGTTGCACTGACCGGACGCGTCCTTTTCAGCCTCCTGGCGCAGCCCGCGGCCGTGCCCGCGGGTGCCTTGATGCGCCGAGACGCACGTTCCAACGAAGCAGCATTGAGCGGCATGAAGAACGACAGCGACAACAACGGCAACCGCGGCGCGCCTTCGGACTACGAATCGACCGACCTAAGACTAAAACGCGAGCCTCGACGCGAGCATGGCGCCGACGTCGCCGTCGGGCGGCGGCGGGGGCGGCTCCGGCGCGGCGTCGCGGTCCGCGGCCTCGCGGAGGAGCGTCGCGAAGTCCGCCGGCGGCGGCGCGGCGGCCTCGCGGTCCGCGGCCTCGCGGAGGAGCGCGGAGAAGCCGGGCTGGTCCTCCTGGAGGCGCCGCGCGAGCCGCGACGTCGCCGCGCGCGCGGCCCCGAGCGACGACGCGCCGGCGCTGCGCGCGGCCCCGAGGACGCGGCCCGGCCCCACGAGGGACGACGGCGCCGGCCCGTCCGCCTCGACCGGCGGCGGCGGCGCGGCCGACGCGATCTCCGCGGCCGCGGCGCGCGTCGCGTCCTCGAAGACGTTGACGAGCGTCGCGCGGCCGACGCGCCGCGCGACGGTCCTCGGCGCGAGCGCGACGCGGACCGAGCAGTCGACGGACGCGAGCGCGAGCTTGCCCGCGGCGCCCGCGGACGTCGGCACGACGACGTCGACCGCGAGCGTCGCGTCGAGCGTCCCGCGGCCGCGGTCGATCGCGTAGCGCGGCGCGGCGCCGTTGGACACGGACGCCATGGCCGCGGACGACCCGACGGCCTCCGCCAGCGCCGCGACGCAGTCACCGAAGACGGACTGGTTCGCGACGCGCACGAGGTAGGCGACGTCGCCGGTTGCACATTTAAGCTGTTCGCCCGCGGCGTCGCCCTCGAGCGTCGAAGCTCCGTCGACGACGCAGAACGCGTTGCGGCCGAGCTCGCGCTCGCAGGTGTAGGCAAATAGATGCTCGTTCTCGTCGTAGTACGCGAAGAAGGCGGCGGCGTCCTGCGCCGCGAGCCGCGCGTTGACCGCTTCCGTCACCGTCGCGTCGGCCAACTGCAGGCGCAGCGCGACGATGGCCTCGTGCGCGGCCTCCTCGGCCGGCGTCGGCGCGCGCGTCGGCTTGCCGCTCATCGTGGGGTTGCTGCTAAAAGCGTCCGGTTTGCGCGCTACCGGCTTCGCCGGCTTCGTCGCCGGCGGCTTCGTCGCCGCGGCCATGGCCATGAGCTCGTCGAGGCCGTCGGACCGGTCGCTGGACTCGGCGCGCTTCAATGTCGCATTGGGCAGGGCGCGCGACCACATCGTGCCGCTGCGAGCGCCGGACAGGTCGGAGTTGCCGTCGAAGCTGCCCGACCCGACTCATTGCGATTGGACGATGTTCGGGAGGAAGACAGCAATGTGGAAGACAGCCGCGCTCTTGCAGCAGTTCGCCTCGGCCGCGCCGTCGACGGCGAAGTGCGTCGACGCGGCCTGCACGAAGCCCGGCCACGACCCGAGCGCCATGCAGCGCGTGGGCAAGTACCATGTCGTCTTGACGACGGGCTCCGGCGGCGGCGAGGCCATGGGCCTCAAGTACATGAACGACAGCGCGGGCTGGCGCCAGGGCGAGGATTCCTACTTCGTGCCGCCCTGGCTCGAAACCATGGAGCCGTGGAAGGGCTGCGCGGCGACGGCGTGCCCGTTCTGGGCTCCGGATTTGGTGTCCAACGGCAACGGCGTCGCGCCCGGCGGCGAAGACTTCGTGCTCTACTACTCGGTGCCCTCGACGACGCACCCGGCCTGCATCGGACGCGCGGTGGGGCGATTCGTCGCGAGCCCCGTGCCGCGCGTCGACTGGCGGGACGCGCTCGGCGGTCCCGTGCTCTGCGGAAACGAAGACGCGTCCTCGGGTCCGCACGTCATCGATCCTTCCGTCTCCGTCATCGACGGCACGCCCTGGCTCTCCTTCGGATCCTGGAGCTCCGACGGATCCGCGGGCGGAGGCGTCTGGGTCGTCCCGCTCGACCCGGCGACCGGCGCGCTCGCGGACGACGTGCTGCGGGACTGCGGCGGCCGCTTCCCGCGCTGCTGGGGCACGTCGGACCGCTTCGTCAACGTCGCGAACAACCGCCAGCCGGGCGGCCAGTACGCGGACACGAACGCCATCGAGGCGAGCTACCTCTACGACCGCCCCGGCTCGAACTTCACGTACCTCTTCGTCGACTACTACTGGTGCTGCAGAGGATTGGATTCGACCTACGAGCTGCGCGTGGGGCGGTCGACCGCGGGCGCCGCGGGCCCTTTCTTCGACGACGCCGGCGCGGACATGGCCGACGGCGGCGGGCGTCTGGTTTTGGGCTCGGGCGACGGCCTCGTCGGCCCGGGCCACGCGGGCATCCTGGAAGACGGCGACGTGCGGGTCTTCACCTTCGACTACCAGGGCGTCGCCGCGGACCCGACCCACGAGTACAAGACGCAGGCGCGACACCTCGCCTGGAGCGACGACGGCTGGCCCGTCGTCTCCGACGTCAACTTCGTCGTTGGCAAGTCGGACGGCGCAGCCTAGGTTCAACTTCGTCGTTGCAGCCTAGGTTTACCCCCCAATAAAAAACGTGGAGGAGCCCATCCCCGTCGATGGACCGTGGTGTTCGGAAGACCTGAGCATGGCGCTCGCGCACTACGACCCCAATGCCATCGTCAAGCGGCGCGACCCGCACGAGCCGCCGCCGCGCGTCTGGAGCGAGGAGGAGCGCGCCAACTTCCGCAAGAGCGGCTTCTACAAGAAGCTCCAGGAGCACGCCCTCGTCGTCCACGACTACCAAAAACAGCGCGACGACGCGCGGACGCGGAGCGACCCGGAATTCGCGCCGCGCGACGACGACTTCGACGCCGACCCCGTCAAGCCCTTCGACGCGTCCGTCAACTACTACAAGATTTTGGGCGTCGACGACCTCGCGACGGCCGCGGACATCCGCCGGGCCTGGAGGAAGCTCGTGCTCGTCTACCACCCGGACAAGATCAAGCAGTCGGGCACGGACATGAGCGAGAAGAAGGCGCGCGAGACCTTCGAGCGCATCTCCCTCTCCTTCGCGGTCCTCACGGACCGGCCGACGCGGCGGCAGTACGACCGCGCGCGCGACGGCGACCGAGCGAACGGCGAGGTCTTCGACTGGGCCAAGAAGAGGAGGAAGAAGAAGAAGGACTGGGTGCCGCCGCCCGTCTTCGGCAGCGCCGCGGAGCCGAGCAAGAAGCCGAAGAAGGTCCCCGGCGAGCCCAAAGACACGACCGTCGTCGTCGACTTCAACGCGCTGGACGCCGGCTGCGTGCGCAAGTTCGCCGTCAAGCGGCGCTACCTCAGCAAGGAGAAGAAGATGACCTCGTCGACGAAGGAGTACGCCATCCCCGTGCGGCCCGGCGAGATGTCGGCGAAGACCTGGGTCTTCGAGGGCGAGGGCGACAGCGACGCGACGACGCTCGCGGGGCCCGTGCGCTTCTTCCTCGCGATCAAGCCCCACGCGACGCTCATCCGGAAGGGCTGCCACTGCACGTCCGACGCCGTCGTCGACGTCGTCGCGGGCCGCCGCTTCTTCGCGCTCGTGGAGACGCTCTCGGGCCGCGCGGTCGCGCTCTGCGGCACCGCGCCGGACTTCGGTGGCCGGACGGGCCTCGTCGAGGTCCGCGTCCCCAGCGAGGGCCTGCCCGTGCTCGGCATGAAGCGCGGCGAGCGGGGCTGGCTCGCGATCAAGCTCAAGGTCACGCCCGGCCCGGTCCACGATCGCGTGCGGCGGAACCGGGCGGCCATGGAGAAGGCGTGGGAGACGCAGGCGGAGCGCGTGCACCGCCAGATCGACCTGAAGCAGGGCGACCTGCTGCGGGACGACTTCGGCGTGGGCATGGCGAAGATCAGCGTGTCGACGGCGCACGCGCCCCGGTCCGAGGCCGTCGACATCGCGGCGGCCTCGCTCGCGTTCTTCGGCGAGCACCTCGCCCAGCCCGGCGGGCCCAGGTCGGACCGCTGGCGGCGCTTCGCCTACTACTTCTTCTGGCTCGCGCCGTCGTTCTTCTTCGGCCGCTGTTGGCTGCGGGTGACGCCGCGGGTGGCGGCCGACGCCTACGCCTGGGGCGGCTGGGCGCCGGCGCGCGCGCGCCGCCGCGACGAGGAGGACTGGGAGCGGGCCCTGCGGCTCCGCGCGGAACGCCTCGAGCGAGAGGAGGAGGCGCGGGAGCGGTCGACGCGCTACTACAAGCCCGTCATCTCCGTCTCCGACGACGAGGACGAAGGCGACGACGGCGACGCGATCTCGCAGCGCATCAAGCGGCGCCACCGCGAGGCCAAGGCCGAGCGGCGGCGCGCGGCGGCCGAGGCCGCGGCGCGCGAGGCCGAGGCCGACGGCGACGGCGGCGGCGGCGACGCGACGCGCGCGTCCGACGACGACGACGACCGGCCGAGCGCGCGGGAGCCGCTGGACCTGCCGAGCCGCGACGCCATCATCAACAACCTGTCGGGCTGCATCGTCCGCGAGCGCAAGGAGCTCGACAGCCCCAAGGTCTGTGACCTGGCCTACGGCACGCGCGTGACGGACACGGGCCAGCGGGCCCACGCCGGCGGCCGCCAGCGCGCCTTCATCCGCGCGCCCGACGGCGCGGGCTGGATCTCGTCCCGCCTCTTCCGCGCGGCCTAGGTTGGCCGTCGTAGCTTACGCCGCGCGCTCACGCGCACTCCTTGAGCGAGGCGGGCTCGCCCGTGTGGGGCAGGGGCCTGAAGATCTGCGCCGTGACCTCCTTGCCGCCGACCTTGAGCTTGACGCGGAAGTTCGTGCCCGCGACGACCTGCGACGTGTACGACAGCGCCTCGAGCGCGTCCGTCTCGGCCGCGCCCGCCGCCGCGAGGATCTCGGCCTTGAGCTGCGCGCGGGGGATTGCGGTGGTGAGCAGCGCGCGTACGAGCCATGGACGCGGGCGGCGCGCGGCTTCCACGAGCGCCTTGACGTCGTCGTCGATGGGCTTGTCGTCACCGAACCCGCCCATGAGACCCATGATTGTTTGTTTCGACCTGCGGGCGCGCGCGCGCGTTTGCGGCTCCGCTTTCTATGCGTGTGGAGCAAATTGCGAAGCGTGTCCCGCGTCGCGCGGCTGCGGTTGCGCGCCGCGCGCGGCGCGGGCACGCACCTTTGCACACACAAGCACGGGGCGGCAGCGGGGAGCTTTCTTGCCACAGGCACGGCGCGATTGGTCGGACGCTCGCTCAACAGCTCCGACAGAGGCTGCCCCACAGCCAGCGAGAGAGCGAGTATGGCCATGAAGCTGGCGCTCCTCGCCGTCGTGGCCGCGGCGAAGGACGTGCCGATGGTCGACATCGGCAAGGACGCCAAGGGCGCGGCCGTCGCGCTGCCGCTCGTCGGCGCGGGCACCTGGGAGTACAACAACTCCGTCGCCTACGAGAGCCTCTGCAGCGCGTTCAAGGCGGGCTACACCATGCTCGACACGGCGAACATCTACGGCAACGAGGCGGGCGTCGGCAGGGCCATCAAGGACTGCTGGACGCGCCCGCGGTCCGAGCTCTTCGTCATGACCAAGGTGCCCGGCGGCCTCAACTTCACGGCGACGCTCGCGGCGCACGAGGACAACATGAAGCTGCTGCAGCTCGACTACGTGGACCACCTCATGACGCACTTTCCGTCGAACTTCGACGGCAGCCACGCGTCCAAGGCCGACCGCCAGACGACGTGGAAGGCGCTCGAGAAGATCTACGCGTCGGGCGCGGCGCGGAGCATCGGCGTGAGCCACTACTGCGCGAAGCACATCGAGGACGTCATGGAGATCGCCAAGGTCACGCCGTCGATCAACCAGGTCGAGTACCACGTCGGCTCCGGCGACGTCGACGACGTCATCCCGACCTGCGAGAAGTACGGCATCCACTTCATGTCCTTCAGCCCGCTCTGCGGGCCCTGCAACAACACCGCGGGCGACAACCTCATCACGGGCAACCTCGTCTCCAAGGTCGCGGCGCACTACGACGGCGTCAGCGGCGCGCAGGTGTCCCTGCGCTACATCGTCCAGCAGGCGCTGGAGCACCCGACGTACTTCGCGGGCGTCATCCCGAAGAGCAACGACCCGGCGCACCTCGCGTCGAACCTCGACGTCTTCGGCTTCGAGCTGTCCAAGGCCGACATGGCGCTCCTCGCGGCCGCGACGCTCCCGGCGCCGACGCCGGGGGACTGCGACGTGCCCTAGGCTCCCATTTTTTAACACACCAGCGTCCGGCAGTCGCAGGGCCGCCGGTCGTCCCCGAGCCGGAGGTGCGCGCTCACGGGGCACGTCGTCCGCCCGCCGTCGAGCGCGACGAGCTCCGAGTAGAGGCGGTTCCGCAGGTCGCGGTGCGCGTCGCGGTGGTGCGTGAAGGCGACCGTGTCGAAGGTGCCCGCCAGGAGCGGGACGGCGTAGGCGAAGAGGCGCCGCTTCGATTCGTAGTTCTTCGCGTCGTACCACGTCGCGTTCGCGAACGCCGCCAGGTCGCAGACGTCGGCGAATTCCACGACGCGCCGCGCGTCGTAGAAGAGGCCCGTCGTGTTCGGCGTCGCCCGGTAGAACCACAACCCCGCCATGGCGCTGTGGTGGGGCTCGGGCTGGTGCGCGACCTCGACGAAGCCGTACTCCGGGAACGCCGGCGGCCGCCGCTCGCCGCCGCAGTTGAACTCCGCGCGCGCCGCCGGGCCGGACGCGAGCGCGACGGACGACGGCGCCCAGAGCCAGTCCGGGCAGCGGCAGGCGCAGTCGTCGCGCGCGAAGCAGAGGTCGCAGACGGGGAGCGCGTCCGCGTGCGTCAGCGCCGCGGGGTTCGCTCGCTTGCCCCGCTTGAGGCACGCGGCGCGGCCGAGCGCGCAGAACCGCGACGCCGGGCAGTCGCCGTCCGGCGCCCAGGTCCCGCGCCGGTAGTAGCCCGCGGCGGACGCGAGCGGCAGCCGCGGCAGCGAGAAGTCCTGGCGCAGCGGCGCGCGCCGGTACCGCGAATAGAACTCCGCGGGCGGATTCGCGGCGGGCCCGTCGGCCGCGCGCATCGCGTAGGTCCAGACGGGCGGCGGCGGCGCGGCGGCGAGGTCGCCGAGCCACGCGGCGAAGCCCCGCGCGCGGCGGACGCGGACCCGGGTCGCGTTCGCGTCCTCCTCGACGACGACGACGCCGACGCCGACGAGCGCGGCCGCGAGCGCGGCGAGCGCGTCGTCCGTCGCCTGGAACTGGACCTCGTTGTGGAGCAGGTTTTCGTAGCCAGGCGCGTCGCACGTGTCCGCGCGCGGCGCCGCGCGCACGCGCAGCATCGCCGCCTCGAGGCCCGTCGTGTTCCCGGCCCGGAGGCAGCCCGCCTTGCCGAAGGCGCGGAGCGGCTCGGGCAGGTGCCTCGCGCCGAGGCAGCGGCCGCAGGTCATGGCGCAGCCGTCGTGCACGCTCGTCGAGCACGCGCGGCGCGCGAGGTCCCGCGAGTGCGCGAAGAGGAGCACGAGGTCGAAGGCGCCGCAGCTCCTGCCGTCGAAGTGGGGCTGCGCGCAGAGGAGCGTGGGCACGCGGTCCGACAAATAGGTCGCGCTGAAGATGCGCGCCTTGCTCCGCGCGGCCTCCCGGCCGGGCAGGCGCTGCCAGCTCGTCAGCGCGAGGAGCTCCGCGACCGTCGCCGGAGCCTTGAGGCGCACGCGGCTGTCGAAGGCGCTCGCGAGCACGCCGTCGCCCTCCAGCGCCTCGCGCACGGAGACGGCGCCGCAGGCGACGGCCAGCAGCGCGGCGAGGTTCATGGCGCGAGGGGCTGCGCCAGCTCCGTCGCCGTCGTCTCGTAGATGGCGTCGAGCCTGCGGATCCGGTCGCTGGCCGCCGGGTCCATCCGTCTCATGATGAGTCTCATTTTCAAGCTGCCCAGCTCCATACGCTCTCTGCCCGCCGATTGATGCTGATGTCTCCCTCATCTTGAGGCCTGGCTGAAGCACCTCACGGCTTGCTCCGCAATGGAGCGCGAAAGCGAGGCGGCTAAGCGCAAGCAATGCGCCGCGCGAGCAGCGGCGAGCAGCGGCAAGCGCTGAGACAATAAGCGAGCAATGCGCCGCGCGATAGGCGCTGCGGCGTTCGCGGTGCTCCTCTGCGCCGCCACCGCTGAGAATCGGCGCGCCGGCGCGTACGCGCTGGAGAAGTGCAAATCGGGACCCATGCCGGCGAAGCTCGTCCTCGCCTGCAACAACGCGACGGACGCGTGGAACGCCGAGGACGGCTGCGACCGCGACGACGACGACGACGACGACGACGACGACGACGAGCCGTGCGGCGGCGGCGGCAAGGTGTCGCTGCGCGTCGTCAACGCGCGCGTCTACCGCGCCGAGGCGAACCTCGCGCTCCTGTTACGGGACGCGGTCAACGCGGACATCCTCTTCCGCCTCGCCGACGCCATGGCGCGCGACGAGACCAGCGACCTCCGGGAGCGCGCGCGGCTCCTGCGGCGCGCGGGCGCCGCGGGCACCGCCTCCCCGAAGAGGAGGCGAAAAAAGAGAAAGAGACCCGCACGTTAGAGGCCGAGCACATCCCGGGCCGCGGGCGTAACATATCCCGCCGGCGGGATATGTTAAAGGCCGCTTCAACTTGGACTTCAACCTCAAACCTTGCACTTCAACAGGGACCTCAACACAGCCGCTTGCCCTTCAAAAGGGACCTCAACACCGCCGCTCACGCCTCGCCAGGGACCTCTGACGCGCCGCCCACGCCTTAGGGGGCGCGACCCGCCCCATGCCACGTGCCAGAAGCCCTCCAGAAGCCCTCCAGGAGCCCTCCAGAACCCTTCCGCGGACCCGAAATACCCCAAACCCCTTACGATTTTGCGATTTTGATTCCCCCCACTGCCTTGCCTTGGTAAACTGCCCTTCAAGTTTCTTTAAGGGCAAACTGCAACGCCGCCCCAAACCACGTGCCAGAAGCCCTCCAGAAGCTTCCCAGAAGCCTTCTAGAACCCTTCCGCGGAGCCAAAAAATACCCCAAACCCTTTACGATTTTGCAATTTTAATTTCCCCCACTGCCTCGTCCTAGTAAACTGCCCTTCAAGTTACATTAAGGGCAAACTTCAACGCCGCCCCTTCAGCTTCCTCAAAATAGCAAAATGAAGTCTTCAGGGCAAACTGCAACGCCGCCGCTTACCTTGCCAACTTGCATTTCAAGCTCCTTCAAAATGCCCTTCAAGCTTCCAGAAAGGCCAAATTTAAAATGTCATTAATTGCCCGCTCAAAAGACTCCTCGTAGCTTGTTTGTGCGCTTGCGGTTTGTGCCTATTTAAGCACGCGTTGAAATGCTTGCAGCTATGGCGCCCTACGCGTCTGAATCTGACAACGATGACGATGATTCCGACAACAATAATTCTGTCAACGATGATAACGATGGCGGCGATATTGATGTAGCATAAATAAAAAATTTAAATATATCTATACTAATTAAATGGGGCGGGTCGCGCCCCCTAAGGCGTGGGCGGCGCGTCAGAGGTCCCTGGCGAGGCGTGAGCGGCGGTGTTGAGGTCCCTTTTGAAGGGCAAGCGGCTGTGTTGAGGTCCCTGTTGAAGTGCAAGGTTTGAGGTTGAAGTCCAAGTTGAAGCGGCCTTTAACATATCCCGCCGGCGGGATATGTTAGGCGGGATGTGTGGGGGTCCGCGTCGCACATCGCCCCGGCCGTCCGACTGAGTCAGCAAACCGCCTCGAAGTCTAGAGGCGCCTCATTTCGCGCGCTCCCTAGTAGTCGAAGGAGAAGTGGCCCTTGGGGAGGCTCGTCGTGACGTCGGACGGCGCGAGCATCGTGGCGACGTTGCCGCGCGCGCGGGGGAGGATCTTCTCGAACGCGAAGCGCGCCGTCGCGATCTTGGCCTTGTAGAAGTCCGGGTCCTGGCCGCCGCCGCCCTGAGCCAGCTGGGCGTCGGCGGCGAGCTCCATCTTGAGCCAGTGCTCCGCGAGCGTGACGTGGCCCGCGAACATGAGGTAGTCGACGGACGCGGAGCCGACGATGTCGCGGTCCTTCATGGCCTTTTTGCCGATGGACAGCGTGAGCCAGTACCACTCGGCGACGTGCTTCAGCAGCTGGAAGGCGTGGCTCCGGATGTTCCCGCCGTCGCTCGACGTGCCGCCCGCGACCAGCGCGTCGAACGCGAATTTCGCGACGCCCTTGCAGTGGTGGTTGATGGGCGCGAGCTTTTGCAGGAGGACCTTCCGGCCCAGCAGGTCCAGCGCCTGGATCTGCGTCGTGCCCTCCCAGACGGGCGCGATGCGCGCGTCGCGCACGACCTGCTCCTGCTTGTTGGACTTGATGTAGCCGTGGCCGCCGAAGATCTGGATGCCGAGGTTCGCGGCCTCGACGCCCATCTCCGTGAGGTAGCCCTTGAGGATGGGCGTCAGGAACCCGAGGCGGTCGTCGAGCGCCTCGTACTTGGCCGTGTCGCCCGCCTCCGTCGCGAGCTGCATCTCGTCGACGATGAGCGCGCACTCGAAGACCATCGACCGGCCGCCCTCGGCGACGGCCTTCTGGGTCAGGAGCATGCGGCGCACGTCCGGGTGGGCGATGATGGGGTCCGCGGCCTTGTCCGGTTCGCGGTCCACGTTCTTGCGATCCAGCGCGCGCATGGCGAGGCGGTCCTTGGCGTAGGGCAGCCCGTTCTGGAACGCGAGCTCCGCCGCCGCGACGCCCTGCATCGCCGTGCCGAGGCGCGACGTGTTGATGAACGTGAACATGTGGTTCAGGCCCTTGTTCTCCGACCCGATGAGCCAGCCCGCGGACTCGTCGAAGTTGATCTCGCAGGTCGACGACCCGTGGCAGCCCATCTTGTCCTCGATGCGGCCGATGTTCGTTTTGTTGAAGTCGCCGACGGCGCCGTCGTCGCCGACGAGGTGCTTCGGCACGAGGAAGAGGGAGATGCCCTTGGTGCCCTCGGGCGCGCCGGGCAGGCGCGCGAGCACGCAGTGGAGCACGTTGTCCGTCATGTCGTGGTCGCCGCAGGAGATGAAGATCTTCGTGCCCGTGATCTTGTAGGAGCCGTCGCCGTTCGGCACGGCCTTCGTCGCGACCTGCGCCAGGTCCGACCCGCAGGCGGGCTCCGTGAGGCACATGGTGCCCGTCCACTCGCCGGACACCAGGGGCGGGAGGTACTTGTCCTTCAATTCCTCCGTGCAGTGGCTGTAGATCGTGTTGATCGCGCCCTTCGACAGGCCCGGGTACATGGTCCAGGTCCAGTTCGCCGTCGCCATCATGTCCGCCTGGAAGATGGAGTAGGAGTAGGGCAGCTCCTGGCCGCCGTACTTCTCCGGGAAGCTCAGGCCCTGCCAGCCGCCCTCGACGAACTGGTCGTAGGCGGCCTTGTAGCCCTTTGGCGTCGTCACGGTCCGCTCGTCGACCCAGGTGCAGCCCTCGGCGTCGCCGGCCTCGTTGAGCGGCGCGAGCTCGTTCTCGCAGAACTTGGCCACCTCCGTGAGCACCATGTCGAGCGTCTCGGCGTTGACGTGCTCCCGGTCGCCGAAGTGCTTGGCGTAGTGGGCCTCGAAGTCGTGGACCTCGTTGATGCAAAAGTCGAGCTCCTTGAGCGGCGCCACGTAGGACCGCGTCGCCGCGACCGTCGTGCGCCGCGCGCGCTTCGCGAGGCGGCCGGCTGCGCGCATGAGCATCGTGTGCTGAGGAAGGCAAGCCGGCGACAGAATGTCCACAGCAGAATTGGCGACTCCATCGGCCTCTTGAAGCGATGATGCACCTCTTAGAAGCAAGTTTAGAAGCGCCGGTGCGCCTTCTTGTGGGCGTGCTTCTTCTTGGCATGGTGCTTCTTCTCGTGGCGGCCCGGCCCGCCGAACATGGCGCTCGCGTGGCGCTGCTTCTCCTTGGCGGCCTCCTTCGCGGGCGAGTCCGGCCGGTCCGGCGGCGCGTCGCAGAGGAGGCCGTACTTGACGAGCACGGCGGCGAAGGCCTTCGAGTTCGCCTCGAAGCCGCGCCGCGCCTCGAGGATGTAGGCCACCTCGGCGTCGTTGTGCGCGTCCGCGAAGAGCGCCTCCGGGTCCGCGCGGATCATCTGCCTCCGCCACCGCCGCAGCGCGAGGTTCGCCGAGAGGCGCGCCATGGACGCCTCGGTCCAGCGGGGCTTCTCGCCCCGCAGGAACTCGAGGGCCTCGTTCTGGGTCTTCGACTTCCGCTTCCGCCAGCACCGCGCGATGTAGTTCTTCTGGACGACGAAGCACGCGATCTCCAGCGCCTGGGACACGAGAGATTCAACGTCGCTTCAATGTGAGCGCTCCGCGCGCGCGCGTTCCAAGAAAAGCGTCGAGACCGTTCCGAGAGATGATCGCTCGTCCAAACATCAGCCGGAACGAGCGGAACGCGGCCGAGATCGGAGCCTGTGACGTCGGGCGCGTCGCGCTCGTGTCCCGCCCCGTCCCGCGCGATGCGGATGAGCTTGCCCTCGCGCTCCTTGTCCGCGTACTCCTCGGCGACCGTGCCCCACTCCGTGTAGAGCCGCATGACCAGCGCCTCGGCCGGCGGCGCGGCCGTGCCCTCGACGACCGCGGCGTTGAAGTCGAAGAACTCCATGCAGCCCTCGGGCGTCGCGTGGTGCTCGAAGTGGTCCACCCAGAGCCGCCGCTGCCTGGCCCGCAGCCCCACGGCCTCGCGGAAGCGCCGCAGGTTCCGCTGGAGCACGAGGCAGCCGCGCATCTCCGCCTGCGCGGCCCGCGACTTCGCGAGCTCCAACGCCCAGCGGTCCCGCGCGAAGAGCTCCGCGAGCGCGTCGTCGGCGTCGACCATGCCGCCGCGCACGTCCTTCTTGAAGGTGTGCGGCAGCCGGTTCAGCTTGTTGACGAGCTCCTCGGCCGTGTGCTTGAAGACGACGGCGACGGCGTCGCGGAGCGCGCGGAGCTCGAGCCGGCTCGACCCGGAGAGCACCGCGTGCACGGACGTCTCGACGCGGCTCTGGACGCGCGCGAGGTACTCGGGCCAGAGGCGCGCGAAGAGCGCGACGTGCGCGCCGACGTCGCCGAGGCCGTGCGGCTCCTCGGGGACGATGCCGAAGAGCTCGCCGAAGAGGCGGAGGCGCTTGTTCTTCGACGCGAGCTTCTCGACGGACCGGCAGAGGGCGCGGAGGTGGGACACGGCCAGCGTCTTGAGGCCGTACTTGCGCACCGTCGCGTTCGTCGCGAGCTCGACCTGGACCTTGTGCGCGCGCTTCCGCGGCGCGGTCCAGTCGACGTCGAGGTTGAGGTTGTGGTAGGCGCGGGGGCCCCAGTAGTTGACGAGCTCCTCGAAGATGAGCGGGATCAGCGACACGGCCTTCTCCACGGGCATCTCCGCGACCTTGTCCGTCCTGCCGAGCGCGCGCTTCAGGTTCACGTTCTTCGAGTGGTCGTCTTTGTCCTTGGCCTCGGCGATCATCGTCTTCTGCGTGCGCACCTCCCAGTCCGCGGGCGTCGACGTCGCCTTGTCGATGACCTCCGGGCCGCCGTCCCGCAACACGCGCGTCACGCGCGTGTTCCGCCCGTCGTGGAGCCGCTTCATGCGGTTGAGCGCCAGGAGGCGCTGCATGGGGTCCACGGGCGCGTCGTCGTCGAGCTCCTCGGGCTCCTCCTCGTCGAAGAAGCGGTCGTGCATGGACGCGTGCTTGTCCTGGCGGAACCGCTCGAGGAGCGACTCGCGGACTCGCGGCGGGCCGGCCGCGGCCGCGCGCTCGCGGAGCAGGCCCTCGCGCGCGGCGCGGCGCCAGCGGAGGAAGATGGCGTTCCGGCCCCAGCGCGCGCGCATCTGGCGGACGCGCAGCTTCCGCAGCTTGTGCCAGCCGATCCACGCCGTCAGGCACGTGTGCTGCAGGAACTTGTGCATCGCCGCGTACTCCTGCCGGAGCCGCCTGGGCGGGAAAAGCGTGATTCAAGTTCGCTTCCACATGAGTGGTCCGCGCGCGCGCGTTCCGGAAACAGCATCCATGCGTCGAGACCGTTCCGAGAGATGATCGCTCGTCCAAAAAATCAGCCGAAACGAGTGGAAACCGGCCGAGATGGGAGCCTTTGGGAATGTCGCTCTCTTTTCCCGCCCCGGGAGCCGCTTCTCGAGCTGGTTCTTCAGCGTGACGCCCGCGCGCGCGAGCTTCATGTCCTCCTTGAGGCGCTCGAGCTCGCGCTCCACGCGCAGGCACCGGTCGAACCAGGTCTCGTCCGCGAAGAGCTCCCGCGCGTCCTCGTCCGTCCCGGGGTCGACGTAGACGCACTCCCGGAGCGCGGCCGCGAGCTTCGCGACGAGGGGCCCGTGCTCGCCGCGCATGAGCAGCGGCGACAGCTTCGCCAGCAGGTCGCAGCTCACGGCCGCGTAGGCCGGCATGGGCGTCGCGCGGTCGTCCTCGACGGACCACGTCCGGCACTCGGCCTCGCCCAGCGTCGCCTCCGCGTAGACGGCCAGCGACTCGAAGCCGTGGGCGTAGCCGCTCCGGAAGCTCGCCGTCCAGGCCGTGACGACGCGCTTGCCCGGGCGCAGCGCCGCGGCGACGTCGACGTCGACGTCCCAGTCGTCGACGGCGTCGGGCACGTCGTCGAGGATGACGTCCGCGGCGACGGGCCGCGGCAGCGTCGACGCGCTGAGCTGGCGCGTCAGCAGGGACCGCCGCGTCGCCGGCACGTTGGGGTCCACGCGCGCGAAGCGCCGCGGCTTCGTCGCGGGCGCGGCGGCCGACGCCTTGTAATCCGTGAGGAGCGCCGTGGACGCCTGGGCAGCAAAAGGGTGATTCAACGTCGCTTCAACGTGAGTGTTCCGCGCGCGCGCGTTACGGAAAAAGCATCCACGCTTCGAGGCCGTTCCCCGAGAGACGATCGCTCGTCCAAAAGTCAGCCAAAACGAGTGGAACATGGACGCGCGGCGCAGCGCCGCGGCGCTGCCCGGCCGCGGCGCCGCGCGCGCGCCACCGAGGCCCGCGAAGCGCTCCGTGACGCCCGCGCCGCCCCGCACGGCGCTCCGGGGCCGCTCGAGCGTCCTCGCGCCTTCCGCGCAGACTTTGTCGTACTCGATCCAGGGAGCGCGGACGTCGTCGGGCTGCCAGACGCGGTGCCGCTGCGAGCTCTTGCGCGTCGACGGCGCGCAGAGGAAGCCGCTGCCCTCGTCGCTCCGCCGCACGAGCCGCCGCTGCTGCCGCACGGCGGCGCGCCGCGCCTCGACGAAGCCCTCCTCACTGAGGTAGGCGCTGTCGTCGACGGCCGAGAACTCGGCGAGCCGCGCGAGGAGCTCGCTCTTGCTCGCGGCGATGCCCCGCTTCGAGGTCGTGGAGCTCTCCCGCTGGAAGAGCGGCATGGTCGACGGAGCTCGTTAGGAAGCACTCATCGTTGGGGCTGCACCTCGACCTCACTTTGTGGATCGGCTCGTCGGTGAAGTGACGGTGCGAGGAACAAGAATATCGCATCCACATTCCGCGGCGGGCACTGCCGTCGAGCGAGGAAGACCGAGCCCCGTCCGCCGCGCGCCGCCACAGACCCATCCATGGCGTCCCGCGGTCTCGCGCTGCTCCGGCGCCTCCCGCGGGCGTCGCCCCGGTCCGCGCCGACCCGGTCCCTCTGCGCCGCGACGGAGGAGGTCGAGCGCGACAGCATGGAGTACGACGTCGTCATCGTCGGCGCGGGCCCCGCGGGCCTCGCGTCGGCCATCCGGCTCAAGCAGCTCGAGGCAGAAGCGGGCACGGAGCTCGCGGTCTGCGTCGTCGAGAAGGCGAGCGAGGTCGGCGCGCACGTCGTTTCCGGGAACGTCTTCGAGCCGCGAGCGCTCGACGAGCTGCTGCCCGACTGGCGCGACGACGGCGAGGCGCCGCTCCACACCAAGGTCCTCAACGACACGTTCCACTACCTCACGGGCGAGAGCGGGTCCATCCCCCTGCCCTGCCCGCCGCAGCTCCACAACGACGGCAACTACGTCGCGTCGCTGTCGCAGGTCGTGCGCTGGCTCGGCGACAAGGCCGAGGAATTGGGCGTCGAGATCTACCCGGGCTTCGCCGCCGCCGAGGTGCTCTACGCCGACGACGGCGCGGTCAAGGGCGTCGCGACGCGCGACACGGGCCGGAACAAGGACGGCACTCCCGGCGACGCGTTCGAGCCGGGCGTCGAGCTCGTCGCGAAGCAGACGCTCTTCGCCGAGGGCGCGCGGGGGTCCTGCGCCGAGGAGGTCATGAAGACCTTTGATTTGCGCAGGGACTGCGACCCGCAGCAGTTCGGGCTGGGCATCAAGGAGGTCTGGGAGGTGCCGGAGGACCACCCGGAGTTCGCGCCCGGGCTCGTGCAGCACACGCTCGGCTGGCCGCTGGACCCCGCGACCTACGGCGGCACGTTCCTCTACCACATGGCGCCGAATCTCGTGCAGGTCGGCCTCGTCGTCGGGCTCGACTACGCCAATCCCCATCTCTCCCCTTACAAGGAGTTCCAGCGGCTGAAGCACCACCCGAAGATCGCCCGCTACCTCGAGGGCGGCGAGCCCGTCGCCTACGCGGCGCGCGTCATCAACGAGGGGGGGCTGCAGTCCGTGCCCAGGCTCTCGTTCCCCGGCGGGGCATTGGTGGGCTGCTCCGCGGGGTTCCTCAACGTGCCCAAGATCAAGGGCACGCACACGGCCATGAAGAGCGGCATGCTTGCCGCGGAGGCCGTCTTCGACTGCGTCCGGGCGACGGCGGAGGACGAGGAGGCCGCCTACGGCGCGGAGCCCGTGGGCTACCAGGCGGCGTTCGAGTCGTCGTGGATCCGCGAGGAGCTCCACGCGGTGCGCAACTACAAGCCCGCCTTCGGCAAGTGGGGGCTCTACGGCGGCGTCGCCTACTCGGGCCTCTCCGCCTACGTGCTCCGCGGCAAGGAGCCGTGGACGTTCTCCCACGACCACGTCGACTCGCAGACGACGGTCAAATCGGACGACCCCAAGGCGAAGCCCATCGACTACCCGAAGCCCGACGGCAAGCTGAGCTTCCCGCTCCTCGACAACCTGGCGCGCGCCGTTGTCGACCACGCGGACCAGCCGAGCCACCTCCGCGTCAAGCCCGAGCTCGCGTCCGAGGTCCTCGGCAAGGCCGCGCGGTCGTTGAAGGAGCACGGCGCGCCCGAGGCCAACTTCTGCCCCGCGGGCGTCTACGAGTACGCCGACGACGCCGACGGCGACCCGGAGCTCGTCATCAACGCCCAGAACTGCGTCCACTGCAAGTGCTGCTCCATCAAGATGCCCTTCGAGTACGTCCAGTGGACCGTGCCCGAGGGCGGCGGCGGGCCCAACTACCAGATCACCTAGGGGGACCGCGGGCTGATCGCGCGGCGCGGCGGCCGCTTCTGTAAACATGATGCGTCGGTCTTGCGCTGTTTGGAGGCCGTCTGGGTTCGGCGCGCCGCACTGGACCCCACCGGACAACGACTGTCATCGGCGCTCGCCACTGGCACTGACGCCAGTGGCACAATTGGCTCAGCGTCGGGAGCGAGTAGGCGCGATGAAGCCACGCCGCACTCGCGCCGCTAAGGCCCAAACCCGCCCCGCGTATTCCTCCTCGGTCTTCCAGACGCCTTTGGTCGCGTGCGTTTCGGAGTGGCTCGAAACTGCGGACGTTTTCCACCTTGGCTGGTCGAGCACTAGTTCGTGGCGGGAGGTGCGGGCGACTTTGGTCGCGCTGCAGTTCAGCCGCCACGAGATCACCGACAAAGATTTGGAGTCCATAGTCCAATGCTTTCCAAATCTACGGTCCCTCTCTCTGCAGGACTCGCGCGTCACCGACGCGGCGGTCTACGGCCTTTCGAGCCTCTCGAATCTGCGCGAGCTCAACGTAGTCGACTGCGCGGCGATCACAGTCGAAGGCGTGAAGGCCTTACCGAAGAATCTCGAATCGCTCCGGATCGGCACTTGGGGAGACGAGGTTTTGGACTGCGCAAAACACGCGGCCTCTGATCGACACGCTCAACGGCAGCGCCACCCTGATATCCTTATCCAGGAAGGGCGTTTTGCATGGTCCCCATACCATGGAACCACTGCCAAATTTCTTTTTTCTCTGTCTACTACCTGCTTCTTCCGGGGAGCTCATCCGCTCCCCGCGGGGGGGTGGAGTCGGGCAACTTACCCTCAACTCCTACCTCAACCTCGGACCTACCCTCAACTCCTACCTCAACCTCGGATGGCCTCCGGCCACCTCACCATCGACCTCCATACTCAAGGGCAGCCTCCCGGCTGCCTGCCCCTAGGTCCCCGGCTCGCTCCCCGCCTCGCCCCTGGCTCGCCTCCGCCCCGCCGGGTACGTGGCAGAAGCCTATTCCCCTCAGTCCTAAGCAAAGGCAATAGACTCCAGCGGGATGATGACACGCCTGTCTTTGGGGTCTGCCTATTACAGTTCTGCGTACAAAATTAGCGACGAAGCAGTCATCGAGCTGGCGTCTGGTTGCCCGCATCTGCGGAGCCTATCCTTGACGTCTGGGGTGATTACTGACACCTCGCTCCTGGCCATCGCCCGTTGCTGCACCGAGCTTGAATCTCTCTGGCTCTCGGGATATAGCACGTCGCGTTCCGGTGTCGAACAAATGAAGATCTCGGACGCGGGGCTCATCGAAATTCAGAAGGGATGCCCCCGGTTGTCCGAGATTAGCGTGGATTGTGAGACAATTACCGACTTGGGGATTGCGGAATTTTCTGGCCTGAACACTTTCAGGCTTAAAAAGAACAACGCCGTCACCCTACCTGCGATCGAAGCACTCGTTCGGCGCTCGCCCAATTTGCAGCATTTCGAATTACAAGGCTGTTTGAACTTCCGTCAGCCCCTTGTACATTCGCTGAAACAGTTCCGGACGAGTCATCCGAAGCTCATGCGAGACTTGGCTTCTCAGGAAAGCAGCCACGAGCTCATGTGGGACTTTTATCAAGACACGGACCCCTTTGATTACATCCAAAATCAGATCAGTGGGGACACGGCCGGACACATAGGCCCCAGCGCGCACGGACCGCCGAGTAGCGGCCCGCGCCACGGGGGAAAGAGGCGTCATTAGGACCATAAAAGGCGTGGGCAAAGGCGGGTCCGTGCGATAAACCACGTGGAACGTGCTGCGGTCGGCGAGGCGTCCGCGCGTCGACCGCGGCGTCGCGCGGCGCGCGCGTTTCGGCGCCGATTCTCAGGCAGATGAGCCCGCCGCGGCCCGGTCGACGTACTTGTCCAAGTTCTCGTTGTGGATGGCCGCTTCGGACGCCTTGGCGAGCTGGAACTGGGCCGGGGCCCCACGCGCCCTGCCCTTCCGAGGGGCGGGCTCGAGCACGAGCGCGGCGCCGTCGCCGACCGCGATGACCATCTCGAGGAGCTGCTCGTCCTGGGACCCGTAGTCCTCGTAGTAGCCGCACGGCTTCAGGTCGAACCAGCGCACGGTCAAGCAGAACTCGCCCTTCTTGATGTTCCAGCCGTCGCGCCCCGAGCCGTTGACCCGACGTTGGTTGTCCGCGCGCGCCGGTGGCACGACGACCTTGGCGAGGTAGAAGTCGACGCCCTGGGCGTCACGTTCGCTCTGAGAGATGCCCAAGGCGACCACATCGCCCTTGCGGATCTTCGGAGCGAGGGCAGCGAGACGAGCGTCCTTCTCCGCCAGGCCCTGGGCGATGACGCGCGCGCTCGAGCGGTCATCGCCGGAGGGCGGCTTCAGGATGATGGTCGTGCGGGTCCAGCCGTCGCTCTGGCGCATCTCGGGGGCCGCGGTCCACGCCTTGTAGCGGCAGTTGTCGTAGTCCTTCACGCGGCACTTGGAGCACGAGCAGGGCTGGGCGCGGCGCCGCAGGTCGTCGACAGCGTGAGACGAACCAGACCGGTACTCTCGATCAGACTTGCAGCCTTCGACGGGCGAGGCGCTCCATTTGGCAGACTTGTCCGCGAAGAACACGTCGTCGTCGTCGACTCCGATGGGGTCGTCCTGGGTCCACGTGATGAACCGGTAGAAGTACTTGTCCAAGGAGAGCGTCGACCTACGCGATTTGGACGTCTTCGCGTCGATCTGCGCGGATTTGGACGCCGTCTGTCGCACTTCTTCGCCAGAATCGTAGGTGAGGCGTTCCAGTCCATGCTCGGCTTCGGCCGACCATCGCGGACCGCTGTGAAGAGGTCGTAGGGCTGGGGGACGCTGATGACGTCGCGCCGCGCGTTCGCATTGATCCAGCGGCGGTCCTCCTTGCCTATAGTGTCATGCACACCTTTGAAATCACTCGTAGCCGCCTATGGGGCCATCGTCTCGCAGGCTCGGGCCATCTTCGGGGGACGCGGGCACTGGCAAATCGATGCGTCAGCTCGATGCCCTTTTTCGACCAAAAGGCGGCGACCTTCACGAAGTTCTCTTTGCACATATATTGGCCGGGGCATCCGTCGGTCCAGAGAATGACCCGGGTCAAAGGCGGCTTGTTGTCTTTGACTCGTTTCGCCACGTAGAAATCCACCAGATGGGTCAGAGCGGCGTGATGGAAGAAGTAGTCGTTATCTTTGCCCTTGCCCGAGGCACCGGCGTAGAATTTCCACGCGTGGTTGTCTGTGATGCGTTTCTTGACGAAGGAAGAGGACCCGTCGGCATGCTTCACCGTCACGTCGACGAGTCGTGGATCCGATGCTACGACGAACACGTCGAGATTCGTATGGTTCCTGTGTGTGCAGCAGAGGTTGTCCTGGGCAGCGTTGGAGATCTGCGCAGCGAAATCGGTCTGAATGAATAGCTCGGTATCGGTGAACTTATGCATGTCGTTCAGCCGAGCCGTGTTGGCCCATCGGCAATTCCAGCAGTGCGTGAAATACTCTGTTGCCGCGGCTTCAATTTTCGTGAGGAGCTCACTGCCCGTGACCATGACCTCCGTGAGCTCCTTGACGGCCATGGTGGAGCTGATACTGTTGCCCTCGTCGTCTTCGCCTTTCACCGTCCGGGGCTGGAGCCGGTACTCGCGGAGCTTCACCTCGACGTCAGTGTCCTCGCAGGGGCAACGAAAAAAGCGCTGGTCGACGCCACATTCATCGCAATCACCGTAGGCGCACTCCTTCCTGTGCATCAACACACGCTCGTCATCGTCGGTCGTCAGCTCGAGATCTTCACAGCGTATTGCCGGGCAGAGCATGCAGCTTGAGAACATGCCCGCGGACAGATTCGATCGTTCGTGGATCTTGCTGAATTTGTAGGCGGCGGTCTGCTCTGCCTGGAGGTACGAGGCCTCGGGCGCCGCAGAACGTGCGTCGACGGCTGCACGCCGTGCACGGCAGACTGGGCCCTGGCACGTCGCTTGCCGTTCTTTGACCGAGAGGCGCAGGCGGTTCAGAGCGAGCAGTCGTTCCCTCATGCTGGTCTTGATCTCGTCGGCGCACTCGCGCTGGTGCGGCTCGCCGATGCACCTGTACACGTGCAAATCAACGACTGGTTTGGGACGTCCCGACCAAACTTTGAAATTCTCTAGCTCGGTCAAATCGAAGTCGATTCGGCTGATTTTTGGACGGATCGATTGCTCTCATCGAGTTCTCGAAGCGCAGCGGAGGTGCTGAAGTCGGGTTGAAGATTTGATTTCACACAGCGATGCACGGGCACTTGGCCCGCTTGAAGAGCGTGAAGGAGATCTTGTGGCTGGGATGGGCGGCGAGGTGAGAGGCGTAGCCCGCCGACTTCAGGAAGGCCTGGTAGATCTCCAAATCGCCCGCGTGCTTCGTGTGGCGCTGGTGGTGCTCCTCCTTCACGACGAGCGTCCTCCGCCCGTCGGAGTCGACCTGGACCGTGACGATCTTCACCTTCTTGGTGCACCTCCCCGCGAAAGTGTCGAGTCGCACGTCGTCGTTCTGGTGCCAATACTCACGAGCACAGGCGAGGTCGACGAGATCAGAGCGCAGAGCCCGCATGCGGTGGCGTGCGAGCTTGCCCGCGTCGTCTTGTAGCTTCCGTCGATCCGCCGCGTTCGAGAAGCGACCGATGACGCTGTGGCTCACGTTGTCGCCGCAGCAGACCCGCGAGATGCCCCGGAGCAAGTTCTTGGCAGCGCCATCCGCCGGCGTTACAGCCTCCATCACCGCGTCCACCTTCTGCTGGGCATACTTCCGACGCGTCCCGCCGTTCGGAAGGGCCGCGAGCGAGAAGTAGCCCTTGATCGCCCGGCCCATGGCGCGTAGGGCCTTGATCTCCTTCAAGTCCAGTCGCAGCAGCTTCCCTGCTCGCGCGACGACGGCCTGGAGGATCGCCGCGGTCCGGCTCTGGTCGCCTCCGCCGTGCACGAAGAGGGCCGCGAGCACAGGATTCACGTCACGGGCCTTCGCCTCTGTCGCCGGCCCCGCCGATGGCTCGTCGACACGAGCGGCTGTGACCCGGCGCCGCGGCCGGGGGGGCTCCGGATCGTCGCTGGAGTCGTCGTCGGATCCGCTACCGTCGGGTCCGCCGTTCGCGCGCGGCGTGCTCGTCGGCTCGAGGCGCGCCATGAGCGCCAAACCCTTCTTCGCCATGCCCTGCGTGCGGTTCGGGAGCGCCTCGACGGTCTTGGCCCACGCGGCCCCAGGCGTCGACAACTTCGCGCGGAGGCTCTGAATCTCCATGTCGGCCTCGCGGAGCAGCGCGTCCTTCGTCACGCACTTGGCGCAGCCCGCGCAGCCCTCGTCGCTGGAGTCGCTGGAGCCGACGCCCTCGTCGATGCGGTCGCTCGAAACGACGGGCCCGCGGGCTGCTGCTGGCTGCCGCGGCGTCNAGTCGTACTGGCGACGTA